CTCTCTCACACACACACACACACACACACACACACACACACACACACACACACACCCCTGAGTTTTAGTAAGAGTAAATAGAATTAGACAATCAAAATGTGCCAGGGACAAGGAACAGAAAACAATAAAGTTCCAGCAGCCTGTCTCTGGGCTTTGTTAGAACATGGGAGTGTGTATATGAACTGCATCTAAAACTCTCTGATGGTCTCTATAGGGCACCATCCCGAAACTCACTGCCAGTTCCAACTGTCGTTACGAGGTTGAGTGGATCACCGAGTATGCCTGCCACAGAGATTACTTGGAGAGTGAAACCTGCTCACTGAGCAGTGAGCAGCATGACATCGCCATTGACCTCAGTCCCTTGGCCCAACAGGGAGGTATGTGTGGGTGCCTCTCTCTCTTCTGCCTTGCTTCACAGGGGGAGCCTAGTGGGAGAGGGGAGAGATGGATGGGCTTGGGTTTGCTTAAAAGAACAGGTGTGAACACTCACACTTCTTGCTGGTCCTTTCTCTAGGGTCCTCTTATGTTTCTGATGGAAGAGAGTATACATTTTATATAAATGTCTGTGGGAACGCAACGGTCCCACTCTGTAACCTTAAAGAGTCTGCTGTTTGTCAAGTGAAGAAGGCAGATTCTACTCAAGTCAAAATAGCAGGAAGACACCAGAACCAGACACTCCGGTGGGTGATTGTCAAGGGCATTGTGTGTACTTGTGGGCTGTGGCTCTACCCTCCCCCTTCTCCTTCCCATTTGCTCTGAGAATAAGAAAGTCAGAGCCTAGTGTACCTTCCTGAGGGACTTGGGCAAGTTGCCATTTGTCCCTGAGCAGTTGGGCAGCTTCCTGACTTTTATGATAAGAGTACATCTGTTAGAACTATTGGTTTGTAAATGTATTGTTTCTAAGAACCATATTGTAAGGAATTTAGGTAGTTAGCAGTTTATATGGCTATTGTGTTTCTGATAAGTCTTCTTCTTCTTCTTCTTCTTCTTCTTCCTCCTCCTCCTCCTCCTCCTCCTCCTCTTCCTCCTCCTCCTCCTCCTCCCCCCCCTCTCTCTTCCCTCCTTCCTTCCTTTCTTCCTTTCTTTTTTTAAATTTCCTTTGGCAGTTTGAGAACCTGAAATACCATTAGCATTATATACAAGTTTTAAATAGCTAAAAACCTCCCTTGGTGTAATTCTCAGGATCTTAACTTGGCAGTTGGCTTCCTAAAAGCAGTGAGAGGAGGCTGTTTTTTGAAATTGAGTCCTATACTGGGACTTGTAGATAAAGATGATGCCTTTGGAAGTTGCTCTCGAGGATGTTTAATGTGTGGGCATTATTCATGGTGTATAAAGTCCTGGAGTAACATTGCTGCCAGCAAAGTGGCCTCCCTCCCTCTGGTCCCTTACTACTATATAGCAAGAGGCCACCAGCCTGAACATTCGGAACTCATTTCCTCAGGACGCTTGCCCAGCTGGCTGGAGAGCCTGTTGTTTTATGTCAGTAGTGATTTGTGGGTGGTGTGCAGGAGACTTAACAAAGCCGTTTTTGAAACCTTCAGTTTCTGTAAAACACTGTGTGTTCACAAAAACTAGCTACTCGGATGGAGACCTCACCCTGATCTATTCTGGAGGTGACGAATGCAGCTCCGGCTTCCAGCGAATGAGTGTTATCAACTTTGAGTGCAACAAAACCGCAGGTGAGTGAGTATGCACAGCCCACGCCCGCTTCATGTTAAGGAGCTTGCGTGTGTACACATGTTTCTGGAAAGCAGGGTGCTGAATCAGGGAGTGAGTTGGCTACCTTTGGGCATGTTCACTTCCAGTCCCCAGGTTTTTCTGTTACAGTCTATCCTCCCTGCCCCCACTCTCCTCCAGGAGGCATACATACATCCTGTTTCCATCTTCCTCTGCACTCCATGTTTGTTTTGGGAATCTGCCCAGTGCTGGCCTGGCTGGAGAGAGTTTGTGTCTTGAATTCTTTCTCAGGCATACTCAACAGAGCAGGCCCAGAAGCTTCAAGTGTGTGCCACTTCTTTCATGTCATAAGAATTTTTACAGAGGATAGATTGGTAGAGTTTGAATTTGGGAATTTTGGGATGCCAATGGAAGAGTCCTAGCTGAAGGCATGAGCTGAAGGGTGACTAGAGGGAGCCTGAGTCTCAATGGCTTGTCTGCTCTTCATGTCCTGGCTTCAGGCATTCCTGTAGAGAGACGATAAGGTTCTATCATTAGAGATCTGTCTTGTTCAAGCAGCTCTGGCTATGCCCCGGGCACCCCTGGCTGGCCTGCTTCCACGGTGGGCTCTCATCCTGAGCCTGGGCCTGGGTTCCATTCTCATCTGTGTGCAGCTGGCCCAAGCTCTCATGGCTGCTCCTTGAGAGTGTTTGTTTTGTATGTTTCTATGGTCAGTCTTGGGTGGTTTGATCTGGGTCCAGTTCCTGCATGATTCACAGTAGGATCTGGGAGCAACCACTGTGCCTGGAGTTAAGTTCTCATAAACTTGCTAGTAAAGGGCCCTAAGGGCTATGGCTCACTGGGGCACTCTTCCTCCACTGGAGTCTTTCATTGACTCTTTCTTATCACTCACAGTGCTTGCATGTTTCCATGCCTGTTTGCCAAGGCTCTCTCCACAAGGGGCCTGAGGGTGACAGATGGTTTTCTGGGAGTTCACAGACTAAAAACAGAGATAAGGGTTTTTATGGCTGAATAGAGGGTAAAGTGCTAGAGCTGACCCACTGTCTGTAGAGCCTTGTTATCTGCCCTTCCTCAGGAAGGCTCCAGCTTGTCCACACCAGTAGGGGTACAGCAGCGGGTATAGTTGCTTCTGGGACAACTAAGGGATAGGCATCCAGAGGAAAGGTTTCAGGATGAGGACAGCGAGCCTGGTGCCTGGATGGCTTCAGGACCCAGGATGTGGGGATCTCAAAGACTTGGACTAGGGAGCTGAATAGGAGCCTGGGAAGGCAGGTGAAGTCACGAAGAATCTCAGAAGGGCTGTGATGTGTCTCTGGCCGAGTGACAGAAATAGTGGTTGTTGGGTGCCTCTCCACACCCATATCCATTCTCCTCTGCTCTCTGTCTGCATTGGAATGGGCCTTAGCCAACTCGCTCCTATTCTGTCCCTGGTCCTTGGGGCACAAAGGCTGCTGTTGCTTCTGTGTCCTCAGCCAGCAGACACCAAGCTGGTACTAGCTTCTCTGGTCTCTTCTCTGGCTTGAATTATACCAAATCAGGTGCTCCGATTCCCCCTGTAGTCCTGCTCAGGCCCTCACTACAGCTGAACAGAGGTCTTAGGGCGCAGGCTGCGTTCACTGTGGGACGCTGGGAAGGTGGAGTCAGCATAGGACAGAGGAGGATGGAGGGGTCCTGGACTTCCTTCTAACTATATAGATTGGAATTTATTGCCCAAAGCCATTTCTTTTTCATCTTTCCTTTTTATTACAAAAGTTTTCAGGTGTGCATGTAGGAAGAACATTTTAATGAAATTTTATATAGCTGCCTCTATATCTATGATTCTCAACCCATGGATCAGAGACCCCAGTAGGGGTCACATATCAGATATTTACATTACGACTCATAACAGTAGCAAATGGAGTAGCAATGAAATAATTTTATGGTTGGGGGTCACCACAACATGAGTAACTGTATTAAATAAAGGGTTGCAGCATTAGGAAGGTTTGAGAACCACTGTTCTATAACAATCATTAATGTTTTTCCAAATTTGTTTTGCTTTAACATAGTTCCTGGCTCAGATTGCATTTGAGATGGATTAGCTTTTGGTCTTACAAATCCTATTGAATTAACACAAGATTTTTTAGAAATTACACTTGAGGACTCGTTTGCTTCTGGCTATAAATCCTAACTTCCCCTTTCCCTAGAATGTGAGACTGCCCAGACACCTGAAGGATACAGGCAGACGCGTGGGAGGTGCAACCAGCTGGGATTGTGAAACCACCAAGGGTGGAAAAAGGGCAGCTTTGTGCCAGTGGCCCACCAGCTGGGAAAGGCCAAGGGATAGGGTTTCTAGAGCGGGGGCAGTGCTTTGCCCAGTCCCAAGCCTAGGCAGAGCAGAGCCACTGGAAGAAGTGGCTTGTGAAGAGCAGAGCCAAGGCTGTGCTGTTCTGGGCAGTCGATGGGGCCTCTCTGGGTCAGGGAGGGGGTGGTGTTGACTCTGGTGGGAGCTTACAGGCACATGTTCTGACAGCACTGGGAGGTGTCTCTAACTTTGTGGGAGAGTAATGCGAGCTCCTGCCATGCTTTAGCTCAAGTCACTGCATCGGATCTCTACTTTTGCCTCCATGGTGTGGACGTTGGGGGAACCTCAGGTCTTGCTCATCATTAGCCCGTACTCTTGGGACTGGGGCTCTGGTCCCTGTCCTCTGCGCCACGGCCCTCATTAGTTCTCTTTCTACCCTCTCGTTGAGATAGATAACTGTGAAAGCAAAAACCTGCAAAGCCGGCAGAGGACCACTCCACTAGGATGAGAGGCCGACGTGGCTGCCAGCTTTCCTGAAATTATTCTGATCTCTGCTCTAGCTGGAGAGCTGGCATTGGTTTTGATTTCTGCCTCTTCACTGGCTCTCAAGAAGTTCCTGGGTTTGGGTCACACCACTGAGTTGTATGCTTTCCTGTGGTATTGTATGTGTAGGTAACGACGGGAGAGGAGAGCCTGTGTTCACAGGTGAAGTGGACTGTACCTACTTCTTCACATGGGACACCAGATATGCCTGTGTCAAAGAGAAGGAAGATCTCCTCTGCGGGGTCAGCGACGGCAAAAAACGTTATGACCTGTCTGTGTTGGCTCGACACTCAGGTATTTCTGTCCTTCTTGGGGACCACAGAACAGTTGATCCCAGTAGTTTGGGGAAACGTTTTTAGTTGCCAGCTGAGTCATGACCCTCTTCCCTTCTAGCAGTAGTACACACTAGTAAGGAACATTGAATTAAGAAGTACACTGCTTCTTCTCAGTCCCACTTTTTCTAGTTGAGTTGTCTTGCCTCACCTTACCAGTTCACTTAGAACTTCCAGGGACCAACTGTGCCAGGCCTTGTGCTCCATGCTTATAGACGGTTTTCTCCGGCATCCTTTAAGGGCAGTAATTGCATTTAGCACAGGGACCGAGGGGGCTGGTGGTTCTGGGTCTGTATCATGTCTACACCCTGTGCTTCTGCCCTTTCGTATGGTCCCTAGATCTGGGAGGGTTGTCCAGCATGGATGGTACTATGTGTCAGTGTGAGGGTGTTCATCCTAGAGACTGGTGGAGTGTATGTTACGTGATAGGTTCTAGGTGACTTACCTCTGTTGAAGCCCCACATGTCAACTGCCTTCATGGGTGGCATTTTGCTGAAAATGGATGAGGTAGGTGAGAGCTTATGCCCAGAAATACCTGGCCTCTCTAGGGGATTTCTGGAGTAGGTTTGTAGGACCCTTGCATCTCCTAAGATAGAATTAACTTGCATCAGTACCAGCTGTAGCTGCTGCTGTCCCATTGTCTTTGGAGGCCCATCTGTTTGAAAAGTGCTGTTGGAGGAATGCAGGGTCCACAGTAAATGATCTGTGTTACTTCAGCAGCAAGTCATCTTCGTGGTTTAGTGGTTAAGCATCCTGGAAGCTGTAGGAACACAGGAAATTTCTATAGGAGTTAAAATAGCTGCAGGAAGCTGTGGTTGAATCCCACAGTGCTAATGAAAAGGTGAGTTTCTGCAATGTGGAAAGAGTTCTAATATCTGAGTAGAACCCTAATAAGACTGGTGTAGCTCTAGCCAACAAGGAGGACTTCAGAAAGATTGCCAGGCTCTGGGATCTTAAAGGAAGCGTGAGTTGTGGGAGGTGTCTTGTCAACACTCCTCCCCTTCCTCCATCTCATGTGTTGTACTTCTGAGTCACCTGTAGCGACATGAACTTTTCTGGGTTTGTTATTTTTTTTTTTTTTTTTAAAGGGAAGGGGGTATATTGACTTATAGTTTGAGAAGGAATACAGTTCCTCATGGCGACAACAGTTCCTCAGGAACGCCTGACAACAGGAGCATAGATGGCTGCTCACACTGTACCTGCAGTCAGGAAGCAGAGAGGGGAGCACAATTGATTTATTTATTTTTTTCAGTTTTAAGTATCAGTGTTACAAGACATCCTGGGATCTTGAGGGATGCTGCATCAGTTCACTTAGCAGACTTTGTACCACAGCCTGGCTCTTGAAGAATCTGGAGTGTTTTTGTAGCATTTGTAGCCAGGTAGACTAGAAGATGCTGTGAGCTGAGAGTTGAAATCTTCCCCTGCTGCTCAGAAAGTCTCAGCCTGGAGACTGTAGCCTACACCCCCACCCCCCACCCCCCAGCCAGTGCCCAGTGTTGTGGGGAAAACTTGGGCACACACACTGTCTTTCAAGGCTATGGACTTGGGAACCTAGCTTTCCAGAAGCTTTGTGTGTTGTCACTGGCAAGCTGTGGCCTTCAGATAAGAATGTGTCCCTCATGTATCCTGCAGTGCCAGTTTATAGGGTGGTAGGAACATTCTCATGGCTGCTCTTTTCTTTGCATAATGTCCTTAAAACCCACCCCCGCCCCACCCTTCCTCCCCCATTTCCCATCAGCATCCATTCACTTGGGTTTTGGATTTGGTGGAATCCTCCTCACCTTCAGTGAGCTAAACCTTTTGTGCTGTAGTCAACCTGAGTAGAAGACGTAGTAGCTCTCTTAGCTGCACATGCCCTTGTGGGAAACTGAAGTACAACATGTGACCAGTGCCCTTCCACCAGGCACAGGGCAGCAGCTTGACCATCTGATGTGGTTCAGTCTTTGTGGTTCAGCACAGTTGTGTACTGTAGCATGTGGGAGAAGTTTGTGGTTTCATTCTTCAGAAAGCAGGTTGGGGAATGGTCTGTCCCTGACACACTCACTTGAGAAAGTAGAGATGCCATGACTTTGTGGAGTGCTATCCCTAGATTGTCTGACCTTGGCTTAGTCACTGTTTTAAAAGGTGATCGCAAGAAAAAAGTCACTAAGGACTAAAGGACTTTGTGTTTGGTTGCAGAATCAGAGAAGAACTGGGAAGCAGTGGATGGCGACCAGGCTGAATCTGAAAAGAAGTATTTCTTCATTAACGTCTGTCACCGAGTGCTTCAGGAGGGCAAGGCCAGGAGCTGTCCTGAAGATGCTGCTGTGTGTGCTGTGGGTGAGTCATGTCAGACGGAAGAGACTTAGACTGAGGTTTGCTTAAGCCTCCTGCCTTTGGATGTGATATTAAGGATGATAAAGCATTCTACACTTTCAGTGTCAGAACCAGTGTACCCTGAAGTCCTGGGGTCGGCAGAGGTGTAAGCAGACAGGAAGAGCCCTGTTAAATGCCCGACTTTCTGTCTTCATTCTGTAACCTGAAGAATAATATTGCCAGTACTTGTAAAATTAATTTTGAATTTTTAGCAGCCCTTGATCACACACTTAGGGGAAGCCAAATATCTGCTGGAGCTTCCAGATGAGCAACATATCTTGGGGTTCTTCTTGCTGTCACTGTTGGTCTTGTGTATCACACAGAGGTGTTTGTCTAAGAGACATTGAGGTTCAGTGTGTGTCAGTTTAGGCACAATTTGAAAATGCCAGGAGGAGAGTATGAAGCTTAGTTGGATTTTGGGGATTCCCCTGGCGTTGAGAACAAGAGATGTGTCTCAAAGTTAGTGGAGTCTGTTCTTGTCTTACTAAAGACTCCTGCATAAACATTTTTGAAAAGCAGCTGAACCAGTGATTCAGTGTGGGTGCCACATGTGAGCTTCCGCTTTGTTGTGAATAAAGCCTGTGGCATTTCTGTGCTCCCCAACAGCCTGTATCTCAGGGCAGTTGAGACCCTGAGCATGGAATAGTGTTTCCTACAGACAGTGACGATACACATACCAACCTGCCCATATAGTGCCTTTGGGGATCCCGTGAGTCAGTCCCATCATGTCCCTGCTAAGGCAGGAGGTGGCCTTAGGTGACTGTGCTTATTTTTTCTTTCAAGAAAACCTGCTCCCGTCCCAGCCAGGTCAGATGGGCTGAGGAGAGGTCATGGTACCCTGCTGGCATTTACCTGAGTTTTGGTATAATTTCTAACGAGGAGACTTCAGCATACCTTCTGTTTCCTTCTCTCCTTTTTCCAGATAAGAATGGAAGTAAAAACCTTGGAAAATTTGTCTCTTCTCCTACAAGTGAGAAAGGATACATACAGCTCTCTTATTCTGATGGTGATGACTGTGGTAGTGATAAGAAAATAACAACTAACATCACTCTTGTGTGCAAACCAGGTACTGTCACACAAGAGGGGGGCTCACAGTCTCCATCATCTCTGCAGTGGGGCGGGATGGAAGGGGCAGTCCTGAGCACCACTAGTTCTAGTCTCTGTTAAGGGCAATCAAGTCAATTAGATTTCAGCCTAGAAATGGAGAAATCATATGCTGTCCTCAGGGAGTTGTGTTGACATTTTCCAAAGGAGTCGTGAGTCTCTCTGCATGACATCCTGTTCTTAAGGTCTGAGAGAGGATAAGGGGTGTGGAATGCTGACCTTCTCCCACAGGGGGTCATAAATGCCTTCAAATGTTTCCTTGATCTCACCATCTCAAATGTGGTTATCTCTCACTGAACTGATAAATTTTTGATCTTTTTCCTAAGATCTGCATCTGTACATGTACTTTCGTGTTCTCAGAATGCTCTATTTGTGCATTCCATGCTTCACAGATCTATTTATAATTTCTAGGGATTTCCTTATTGACGTGGCAGTCTTACTATTTTAAAACATTTCACTGTGGGGAGTTTGGATGCTTTACATCCTCTCTATATCCATCCTGTAAAGTTTCCTTTGTATAACTTCCCAGCTTCGGGAAAAGGTCACATGCCAGGAATATTTTGTTTCTTGTTTTATTTTGGTAGACCACATTTCCACCTTCTGAGTATTGGCATTACAGATAGGTGTGTGTGCTACCAGGCCTGCTTTATGCAGGGTGGGGATTGAACACAGGGCTATGTGCATGCTAGACAGACACTCTAATAAATCAGCCACATCCCTGGCTCTGAGGGCCATTTTGTAACCTTGTCTTTACCAGGGCTTTTAAAACAGCCAGAACAGGGAAAATTATTAGAACCAATGGATTAGCGGTTGATCTTTCCCCTACCTCCCTCCTGTTCCCTATTGACAGGTGATCTAGAAAGTGCTCCGGTGTTGAGAACTGCTGGACCTGATGGTTGCTTCTATGAATTTGAGTGGCACACAGCTGCTGCCTGTGTGTTATCGAAGACAGAAGGAGAGAACTGCACGGTCTTTGATGCCCAGGCAGGTGGGTGCCTAAGCAATGCTTCTGTTATCTAGTGTAACTTGGGACCACAGATAGCTTTTGCTAAACACTTTATATGACTGTTAGAGGTAACTTGTTTTAGAACTCTGTTAATGCCACTTGAGTAGAATTCCAGGCATCTTTTGTTGTTTCCTTGTGGTCCTGCCTATCTTGAATCTGTGGCCCCACTGGATTTACTTGAGCAAATGGGGATCCACACATATACATTTGAAAGGCTTTTGTAGGAATCCTAGGCCAGAACCCCTTGTTAGGGGACTTTACAAGAAGGCCATTGTAAGTCTGGATATCTTGCTTGGATATGCCATGTTTGTGAGACTTGGAGTTGCAGGTTTCAATAGGGTTGTAGGGTTCTCACAACAAAAAAGGGCAATGGCGAGGACCTGTGTCCAACGGAGTAGACGGCAGTCACTGCAGGAATGGCAGCGTAAAGGCAGAGTGATGACCTTTCTTCTTTAGCGTCTTTTTGCCCTGGAGTGATTGCTCTCTGAGGAGCATGTGCAGTCACCTGTCTCTGGTGTCCTGACTGACCTAATATGCTCCCCTTGTTTTTGTTTCAGGGTTTTCTTTTGATTTGTCACCTCTCACAAAGAAGAATGGTGCATATAAAGTTGGGACAGAGAAATATGACTTCTACATAAATGTTTGTGGCCCTGTATCTGTGGACCTTTGTCAGCCCAATTCAGGGGCTTGCCAGGTAGCAAAAAGGCAAGTGGCCTGTCATTGTGGCTTTGTCTTTGGTACTCTGTGCTAATGAGTGTTCATTAAGGAAGAGTTAGATTTCCCTCAGACATCATTGTTTGACAAGCATTTAAATAATGAGGAGACCTGGTCAGAAAAATTGCAGGATGCCAGGCACTGAACTTCCCAGAGAAGGGACAAGCCTTATCCTATGGGGTGGAGAGAGGTCTGGGCTCACTCGATACCCACTTTGTGTGAACTTTGAGCTTTGCAGTTCATGCATATTTATGTATGTATTTCTCCTTATTGAGTAGTATTAGTTGCAGTGAATTGAGTTGCACTATAAGCCAGTAGTGCTGAGAGAAAGTTGGGCTCCTGGGTGTGTGTGTGTTGCTTTACTGCTTATTCTTTCTACAGTCAAGAGAGCACTCTGTGTGTGTGTGTTGCTTTTTTCTCCTACAGTCAAGAGAGCGCTTGTGGCTCCCCCCCACCGTGTGTGTGTGTGTGTGTGTGTGTGTGTGTGTGTGTGGCTTCTCCTAACGTCAAGAGAGCTGCATATGAGAGTCCCAGGGACTGCAGTGTGTCTTGGTCCTGACCATGCATTTGCCCCCAGTTGTGCAGCTTTGGAGAGCTCCTGCTCCATGGCACTTCCCCAGTGACATTTCTGTTTTCATTTTAGTGATAAGAAGTCTTGGAACCTGGGACTGAATAATACTAGACTTTCTTACTATGATGGGATGATCCAGCTGAGCTACAGGGGTGGCACGCCCTATAACAATGAAAAGCATACACCGAGAGCCACGCTGATCACCTTTCTATGTGACCGAGATGCTGGAGTGGGCTTCCCAGAATATCAGGTGGGAAAGGTCTTGGGCAGTTTGCCTGGGCAGACCTGGGCCAGTTACCTGCCCTTTTTATAGAAACTGAGCTATTATTAGTTTGGTTTTCTGGCCAAACCGTCATGTAATTAGTTCTTCAGTTTTCAGGGTGCCTAGGCAGTATTTAGTCACTTGTTAAGCTGTTTATTCAAAGGCCCATCTCTCTTAATACTAGTCTACCGTCCTGTTTATTCTGTTAGAAAACATGCAAAAGCTTAAAAAAAAAATAATCACCCTCCTATTTCCCTTACCCAAGGCCAGATTCCATTATAGTTTTTGATGAGGCCATCTTTTTAGTACCTTGAAAGGAGATGGAGAAAGCAAACTTTCTTTCATGCAGCTTTTACTTAAAGCCTTCTTCTTTCTTTCTTTCTTTCTTTTTTTTTTTTTTCCGAGACAGGGTTTCTCTGTGGTTTTGGAGTCTGTCCTGGAACTAGCTCTTGTAGACCACTCTGGTCTCACAGAGATCTGCCTGCCTCTGCCTCCCAATTGCTGGGATTAAAGGCATGTGCCACCACCGCCTGGCTTTAAAGCCATTTTTTAAACAGCTTTGTGCATAACATCTCCTTTTCTTTTTCCATTCTCAGCTTTCTGTTACTAGGACAAATATACAAGGTAATCAGTTTAGAAAGGGGTTATTTTGCCACCCAGCCTTGCAGCTTTCACTCCATGATTGGTTGGATCATTGCTTTGGGCCTACCAATGCATGGTGGGGCACTACCATTAACTTCACAGCCAGGAAGCACAAGACAGTAAGGAGGAACTTTGCATTGAGCCACATCTCCGGTGGTTCTCTGTGCTGCACATGCTTGGAAATTTCATCTTTCTCCATAGTGTTAAGCTAGGGACCAGGATTCCCTTGTGGTCTTTGGGGCTGCTCCAGTTACAGATGCCAGCACTATCCTTTCATGTTTGTTTCTCGTCCTGGGACTAGGAAGAGGACAACTCTACCTACAACTTCCGGTGGTATACCAGTTATGCCTGCCCAGAAGAGCCCTTGGAGTGCATGGTGACAGACCCCTCCATGATGGAACAGTATGATCTTTCCAGGTGAGCAGAGCCAGCAGCTGACCTTGGGCCTTCCTCAGGTGTGGTCATTGGTGAGCACATGGCTTAGCTGATGGTGATGGGCATTGTGTTGGCCTCAGGGTGCAGGACCAGGAGAGATCGAGCAGAAAGGAGGCAGGTGTGGTCTGATCTCGTCACCTTGTGACAGCAGCTGATCTTTTGAATAGCAAAGACTCAGTGTGTAGCTTCCTTGTTTAAAACAATAGCTCAGTGTAAGGAATTTTGAAGGGTCCTCTGCATGTGGAGCTTCAAATGTCAATCTTATGACATGTCCTGTGGGTCAGTCACTCTTTGTATGTATCTTGCTTCAAGTGTCTCCATTGAGAATTTCTTCTTTATTTCTCTAATGACTAAGCATTAATAGTGGTTTGGATTTTTAAAAGCATACCTTTGTGTTGCCACTTTAGTTTAGTGAAGTCTGAAGGCCGAAGTGGAGGAAACTGGTACGCCATGGAAAACTCCCGGGAACATGTCACACGGAGGAAATACTACATCAATGTTTGTCGGCCCCTGAATCCTGTGCCAGGCTGTGATCGATACGCAGCTGCTTGCCAGATGAGATATGAAAACAGTGAGGTGTGTCTGTTATTCTCATGTTTTCTTCCTTGATTGTGGGGGTTGGTGTGTGAAGGTAGTTGTTTTGTAGCCCTTGATCAGGGTAGTCCTGCTGCCAGGTGACACCTCTAAGGAGAGAGAATGGCTGCAGACTGAGCCTCCTACAAGGCTTTGAGTCTTGGTTCCATCTTGAAATGTCCACTGGCCACTTTTGATTCAGTACATATCAGAGGAAGTTCTTAGTGGTTACGTCTGGCCTGAATTCAGGTGCCTGACATCCATAGCTCAGAGCCCCAGCTGCTCAGAGGTCTCCAGGATGACCTAGGTAAAACATGGATTGAAAAGAGTTGCAGGGAGTGACCCAGATCTATAGGTCAGTGCTCTGACTGCTGAACACTTCATCGTCTGGTTCATCGTTCTCACTGCTAGCAGGGCTCTGGTGCATTTTCTTGTGGTCCTCACATGTGGTGGCCATGAAAGTTGTACACGGACTCAGAAGTTGACTTTTGCAGAAGCTGTGTGAGGATTTGCTTTTGTTAGCACAGAGCAATGGTGTGCTCTGGTGCCTCAGAGGTGTTTGAGGCTGTGTGTTCTTTACCAGAACAGCAGCCTCAGAGTGTAGCTGTCCCTTCTGCTCACACAGTTGTCAGAGGTGACTTTATAGGCTCTCATTACTATGAGTAGCAAGTTGACTTCCTGGGGAATAAAGCCAGCTGTTTCCAGGAGAAGCCTAACCCACACTGTGTTGCAGGGCTCCTTGGCTGAGACTGTATCCATCAGTAACTTGGGAGTTGCAAAGACAGGCCCTGTGGTAGAGGAGAGTGGCAGTCTCCTCTTAGAATATGTGAACGGCTCTGCTTGTACTACCAGTGATGGACGGTTAACCACCTACAGCACCAGGATCCATCTTGTCTGTGGTCGGGGCAGCTTGGTAAGTGCTGTGTGGAGTGTAGCAAGAGCTGAAGAAAAGCACTAGGGGCCAGCGTGTGCAACTTTGTAATTGTAAAAAAAAGTTGCAGCAAAATATCTAGGATATACAATTGGTCATTTTAGGCCTTTTTGAGTTACCATGAACATTATGTCCATCATTAGTGCTGCACACTTGTCACCAAATGTTGAGAACTTTTTGGGGGTCAGTTTTCGTTTGTTTGCGCCTCTGGCTAGTCAGACTGGCCTTGAACTCCCGCAGCTCTGCCTCTTGAGGGCTGTGGTGTCTATCTTACATCTATAACTTTTATTTTCTCAACCTTGTTGCTCCTCCCTGGCGGGGTGGGGGTGGTGGCGACAGTTTCAGGCTGGCCTGAAACTCACTATGTAGAGTATGTTGGCTTCAAACTCAGCTGGGATTAAAGGCGTGTGCCACCATTCTCTGGCCCAGTTGCTTTTTAGCAAGAGTTTAGTGTTATGTGTTTTTTGTATGTTGGTTTGTTTTTGTTTTTAAACTATCAATCAGGTGAGTCCTGAGTTTGACTTGCTGACAGGAATTGGATGTTCCTGGATTCTGCTGGGGCCCAGCCCCGTGGATGTGAGGCCTGGTGTCCAGGTACCCTCCAGGTACCCCACATACAGGAAATTAGTCCTGTATTCAGATGTCTGAGGGTATGAAAAGACTGGCTGGGCCTGGGCCTGTGGTCCCTGAAGATAGTGTCCATCCATGGGCTGCAGACGCACTGCCTTGGCCTACACAATTCTGGTCACATAGGTGGACAGGTGCTGCTGGTTTCATTTCCAGCTGCTCCTGGCAGCCTGTGTCCTGGGTGTGTGGGACCCTGTCATAGACTACTTGTTTTCCCTTTTGTTGTCATTTAAATAATGCCATTTTGTTCCAGAAAACTCTTTCAGACCCTTAGTTTTCCAAATACTTTCCCACAGTGGCTGAGCTGGGCAGGCTAGTACACCGTACTAGCCTGGTGTACTGGCCTGGTGTACGGTGTATGGGCCCAGGTAAGACTACTGAAGGAGATCAGAGGAGGTCAGGTTCACAGAGTGACAACAGACTAAAGCCTGGGTCTTTCCTAACCGTGGGGAGCCAGATAACTTCTCCTTTGCTCTTAGGGCTGATGAGGAAGGAGAGTGTGGGTGGGGCCTTCAGATAAAGAGTGTAGGTATGTGGGGTGTGGGCTGAGATCAGTTATGCAGTACCAGGACAGTTCTCCAGGTAGCCTCTAGTTGCTGTCCCACTAACTAATGAGTGAGCCACTGCTTCCTGTGGTAGAGTTAGCACTCAAGAAATGAAACCTGGCTCTCATGGAGGAGACTTCTCATTGAAACCCACAAATTATGAGCCAGTAATAGCCACAAGTTGGCATATCTGTGGAATCAGGACTCCAGTCACAAAATGTGATATGTGCCCTACCTAGAAGTTCTTGTGCCTCTTCTCTTTGCTTCTCAGTCCTTTTCCTGACACACAGCCAGTTTTGTCTTATTCTAGCTGCTGTCTACTACTCTGTGTAGTTGCTTTCTGGTTGCTTCAACTCTGGGTGTACAGGCTTGGATTCAAGCTGTCTGGATCTCAGTTTTCCCATTTGCTGCTGGCATGAACTCATATGTGCTAATGCCCAGGCATGCAAGATAGCCTCTCTTATGGGGTCATGAGGGTGATGTGCTATATGGAAGAAATGTGTGTTAGGTGCTGACCTGCTATGTTGATGTCCTGTTGATTTCTCTCTGCCCTGTGACTTCCAGAATACCCACCCCATATTCACTTACAACTGGGAATGTGTGGTCAGTTTCCTGTGGAACACAGAGGCTGCCTGCCCTATCCAGACGATCACAGATACAGATCAGGTATGTGTGTTGTCATCTTGCCCACTCTCAGGCTGGCTTTGCATTGCCTTCTACCCCACTTTCTGATTTGCACATCAACACCCTCTACACCCTCCCTCCCATTGGCACCTAGATCTCCAGGACCTCCAGCTTTACTTACATCCCTCCCTCCCTCCCTTCCTCCCTCCCTCCTCCTCTCCCTCTCAGTCTCTCTCTTTGTCTTCCTCTGTTGATTTTCTGAGACAAGGTTTTCTCTATATAACAGCTTTGGCTATCCCTGGAACTTGCTCTTAGACCAGTCTGGCTTTGAACTCACAGAGATCCACCTGCCTCTGTCTCCCATGTGCTGGGATTAAAGGCGTGTGCCACAGCTGCCCAACTCATTACAACCCTCTTGTCCCTTCCCCATGCCAGTGCATCCTAGTGGGCTCTCTATCACTGGCAGGAGTCTGATGGATTCCCATTACTCCATTCTAGAACATTTCAGTATCTCCCAACTCATTACAACCCTCTTGTCCCTTCCCCATGCCAGTGCATCCTAGTGGGCTCTCTATCACTGGCAGGAGTCTGATGGATTCCCATTACTCCATTCTAGAACATTTCAGTATCTGATACAGTGAAACCCATGAAGTCTGTGACCTTGCCCACTGAATGGAGCCCAGGGTTTCATGTGATCTCATTGACAGGAAAGCCCATGTGTCTTCTGTGACCTTACCTACTAGGAGGAATCCAGTGCTCCATGGATCTTAGTTTAGTTAGCACACGTGTCTGCTGTGACTTTGCACACAGTGTGGAGCTCAGTAATTCCTGGACCTCCCCGACAGAAAAAAGCCCTAGCTTTTTGTGTCCAGCATGTCTCCCTGCTAGCTGCTCTTGTCCTGAGCAGTGTAGTAGAACACTGCTCTCTGAGTTCTTTGCTGCCCTCTTGGGCTGCTGCGGTAGTTTGTTTTTATGGCACTGTGTGTGCATTTTTTATGATGGGACATGTTTCCCTCCCCATCCTTCTGATTTCTTAACCAGACTGCAGAGTCTGGCAGCAGATACCTGGACTGATACTCACAGTGATGACCTCAGCTCAGGGCCAGCAGTCATCTCAGGCACCCTGTCCATGGTCAGGGCTCTGACTGCTAGCCTGGACTAGCAGTGAACATTGCTGGACATTGGAGGCTGAGGGCACACTTAAAAGAAGGGAGGATGTTGTTCGTGAGTTAACTCAGTTATACTTCCATAGGCGCATTCATGGCAATGAGAGAGAATTCTTAAGTTTTATTTGTTTTTCAAATGTAAAAATGACTGCTGGGTCACTATAGCTCTACCTACCTTAGGCTTAACAGTGGTCTTACTTGGGTATTGTAGTATATTAGTACTCATGGGGTGAGCTCCATTCTTCTGCACACACATCCCACATTGGCACAGGCACACTGTTGCTCCCATAGGGATTTAAAGTGAGTGGCGAGTACAGCTTGCCAAGTGTTAGATGTGGGCTCCTGGAGGGCCTATGTGTTTGCTTTGCTTCTGCAGTTGGTCTGAATGTATTTCTCTCTCTTTCTTGTTTCTTATAGGCTTGTTCTATAAGGGACCCCAACAGTGGATTTGTGTTCAATCTTAGCCCACTCAACAGATCTCAAGGATATGTGGTCCCTGGCATTGGAAAGAATTTTGTGGTAAGAGTGATGCACTACATTTCTAGTTTGCTTTAAATAAGGCAAACTGCACTCAAGCAAGGCACTCAGCTACATCCTTAGTGCTTGTCCAGGGCATAAAGAAATTCAGGCTGGGGGTGGGTGAGGTCCTGATACAGTTAGATGGGAGCAGTTTCCAGTCCTTGCTTGCTGTGTGTCCACAAGTTCCTGAGAAGCAGCAGCAGAGTGACAATTGGGACCTTGTTAAAATCTAGCTTCCTGGCCCCATTGCAGGCCTCCTGACTCAGTTCTGTGATGGGCTTGGGGTTTGCTTCAGGAGGCCCATCAGATGATTTTGGTGCCTACTGAACCCTGTAAAAGGGAAGCTACCTGGAGGACTATGTTCTAGATTCTTCCTTTACAGGTTGTTCTGAGGATGCCTAGAACTGTGAGATGGAAAGTCTTCACAGAGACATCATTTAGACTGCTGCTAGAAGGACGAACGCCCCTAAAACATTTGCTCTTTAAGTTCATCTGGCAGTCCTCTTTGGAATAGTAGAGTAGTAGCTCTGGGAACAGGAAGGTGAAAATGAGAGTGCCCTGCAATATTTTAATGTACAGGGGGTTTCTGACAACTGTCCTCAGCTGGAAAACCGGGCAGGATTTTTTCTTTAGGCTCTGTCCTCTTCCCCATGCTCTTGCACGTTTCCACAGGGCTCTCAGTCAGATAAGAAACATGGACGGGTCTCAGTGTTAGCTCTAGTGTAGCCTGCTTTTCAGCTGCTGCAGAGTGTGTGGTTTGTACCAGGTGGTACATTGATTCGGATTCCACCAGGTCAGAGCCTGTGTTAGTGTGAGAGGCAGGTGCTGAACCACATAGAGGCTGTGCTAAGAGAGACGATCATGAGCTACATAAAGAATGCACCAGAAGCAAACCAGTGAGGCCCTGCCTCATGCACTAACCACACCATTAGGAGCATGTGTGTTGTCGTGGCTCTGGGTTGCAGGTGACAGATCAGTGCATAACACAAGTAGAAGTGTAGCTGTCTGGAACTCATGTTGTGGGAGAACCTCCTGTCTGCCGAGGCCACCACTGCCCACCAGCCAGTTACTTGGCAACCCATCCAGGGCTATAGACTCCTGCCCTTTATTATCGCGCCTCCCACACACCCCTGGTCCTGCTGGGTTTAGCTACCCTGAGCCCCCTGAGCATTTGGTGTCCTCTCCCCCAGAGCTGCTTTCTTTACATAACTACAGAAAACATAATCTCTCTTTAAATAGATTAGCATTTCTAAAAAATCAGGGCATTGCTTTGTTTTCAGTTACGACTCAACTGTATACACTTTCCCCATGTCATTAAAGATACTATAAAGTAGTTTGTATTACTCTCTAATATATAGCTCCTAATTACTTGCAATAATTACATTTACAAATATAGTGCTGTATAAAAAGACCATAAAGGCACTATGCACTAAACTTTAGAGGGATTTGTGTAGGTTTTGTTATTTGGACTTGAGGTTTTGCTTTCTGAGTTTTAGGACCTAGCTGCTCCAAAGTTGATAAACTGACCAGTGATAACCAGATATTTAACCCAGTGGTACACTGGATTCTAGGGTTCTTGTTTGTGGTGAGTCTTGGAATCTAAATGGGTGATTTATTTTTTTCCTGTTTGACTTCCAGTTCAATATCTGTGGTGCAATGCCTGAGTGTGGGACGATTGCAGGAAATCCAGCCTTTGGCTGTGAGGCAGGAACCCAGACAGAATTGGAGAGCCTGAAACCAGAAAGGCCAGTTGGAATGGAAAAGAGCCTCCAGTTGTCTACTGAGGGCTTCCTCACTCTGACCTACAAAGGGTCTTCCCCCTCAGACAAAGGTGAGCGAGGCTTGTGGTTTTGTAATGAGCAGATTCATGTCCTGCTGAGTGTGTGCCCCGAATGCTCTGTTGTCATTCTCTCTCCTAGAGTGTTTGCCAACTTCCTCCCTTGGCGGGCACTTGTACACACATATTTCCCACCTCTTCTTTTTATCTTGCACCCCAGTTCTTCAGAGGTGGGGCGTTAATTGCATTTCTTTAGGTACTAAAGAAGTGATGGGTGACGATCATAAATTACTCACTTTTCTAAGTTTCTCCTGTTTCTTCTCTTGGGCATTGTGGTTACTGTGTGACAGTCTGGGTATGTTAAGCTTGTTAATACTTATTTGTCACCATCTTTTGTTAGTTAAGTGCAGGTCAATTCTGAGCCCCCCCCATAATTACAGCAGCTGTGTCAGTGGATGACTCTGGCAGGTGATGTGTACTAGGACCTGGTTGTGATGCTGTATGTGTGTTGTCTGGTCAATTCTGCCAGTTCCGTTAGTCATCCCTGTTTCTCTTTTTTCCTTTTGAGCCAGGCTCTTGCTGTGTGGCCTTGACTTTCCTGGCACTGGCTATGTAAAGTAGGTTGTCCTCAAACTCAGATCTACTTTCATCTACCTTGCTAGGATCAAAGGCCTGGGCTACCACATCTGGCCTAACCTCCTTTTGTGCTTAATTGCTGCTAGGTTTTTTTGCAGTACTGGAAGGCAGAAAAGTCTTGTGCCTGGGACAGAGCCTGTGGTCCATGAGAGGGATAGCATCAGAGTGAGATCCGAGGGTCTTGGGTTCTGTTCTTGGCTCTGTCACCTGTTGAGTGTCTGTTGTAGAGATGAAGAGAGAGGTCCCAGGGGAGTGCCTTTCCATCACTGGAGTCTGAGTGGACTGAGGTGATGTTTGTATGCTGGGTTGCTCAACACACTGCAGCCAACTTAGTGGGCACCAGGAAGGAGCGCAGTATGCCGTCCTAGATTGTCTGCACTGAAGACTATAGCTTGTCCTCTTACTTTTTTCTACTTCACATCTCAAGTTAATAGATGTTGGAAATGTAACATTCTAACAACAGCTTATGCCATGGAAGACAAATGGTCATTAAGGACTGCTGTGACCAATTGTGTGCCAGCATCAGAACTCCAGATGGAATGGGTATGCTCTGGACCATGAGGCACAAAACCTGAATAGAGCAATAATGGGTGACAGGATCAAATCAACAAGAAGTCGTCTCTGGAAAATAGGAGGCGAGGGCCAGATTGCTCCATCCTGAATGTTACCGAACTGTGAAAACTTTAAAGCTACTTCAGTGAAAGGGGAGGACACTGTGCTGTTCACTGTACCAGGCCAGCGTCCCCAGTGTGAAAAAATGATGACAGTAACAACAAAGCCAGAGAGACCATAACAGAAGGCAGAAGAACTACAGACCAGTATCCCCAATGAACATAGATGTGGACATTTTCTTTTTTTCTCTCGTTTAAAATTTTTTTTTGATTTCATTTTCCATTCCAACCACAGTTCTCCCTCCCACTCCTCCTTTTATGCCACCCCCCAGCCCATCCCCAGTCCACTCCTCCTCACAGCTAAGGTCTCCCACGAGGAGTCAACATAGTCTGGCACAATAGGTTGTGTCAGGGCCAGGCCCCTCTCCCATGCATTGAGACTAAACATGGCATCCCACCATAGGTGATGTGCTCCAACAAGCTAGCTCAAGTACTGGGATTATATCGTGGTCCTACTGCTACTGAGCATGGCATCTCACCCTAAGGAATGGGCTCCAATAAGCTAGCTCATGTACCAGGTTTGTATCGTGGTTCTACTGCCAGCAGCCCCTCTGATAGTCGAAACTTCAACTGTCTCCCACATACAGAGGGCCTAGTTTGGTCCCCTGGAGTTTCCACAGTTGTTCTTCGGAGCTGTGGATTCTAGTCTGGTTGTCCTTTGCTTTACATCTAATATCCACTTATGAGTGAATATATACCGTGTTTGTCTTTCTGAGTCTGGGTTAGTTACCTCACTCAGGATGTTTATTTTTTCTCCTAGTTCCATCCATTTGCCTGAAAATTTCAAGAGGTCATTTTTTCTTTTTAACCACTGAGTAGAACTCAGTAAATGCACCACTTTCCTTATCCATTCTTCAGGTGAGAGGCATCTAGATTGTTTCCAGGTGATGGCTATTACAAATAATGAGATGTAGACATTTCCAACAACATAATAGCAAGTCAAATCTGGTAACACCTAAAAACAATGTACTTATCACAATTCAAGTCTAGCCCAACACAGTGCACATTTGAGAACTATGATACATTGTTAATTAACATGTAAGAACACATGGTTATCTCAGTGAAGGACAATGTATGGCAAAGTTCAGCATATCTTCATGATAAAAAACCCCCAAAAGTAGAAATAAAGGTAGGTGTGCATGACCTACACCATATGGAACAGGGAAAACAGAAATAGTCACTCTAAAATCAGGAGTTAAGACAGATGGTCAGATAACACTACCCAGTATTGGCATTCAGTTCCACCTGTCAGATCTGAGGTTACTGTGCACATTGGGTGACTTTATATAGGGAAAACTTAAGCTGTCAAAAACTATTGGGATTGAGGAATGGACTCAGGACCTGGGAAGGCTGTATCGATGGAGATGCTGTGCAGCTTGCAGGAAGCTCTACAGAAGAACCTTCTGCCAGCAATTGCTACTGTTTCTATAACCCCAGCTAGGGCTGTGTGAGGCTTGTAACTTAAAGGTGAGTTTCAAGAGCCCCCACCCTTTCCAGTAGGAAATGTTTCGTCTTGGAAGAAATAGCCAGACAGTATGAACCAGGAAGCAATTTTATTCATAAGCAGCACAAAAATGAAATGACAAAACCAAACCTGGGAATAAGTTTAACCAAACAAGTGCATGGCCTCTACAGTGGAAGTTGTAAGCACTAATGAAAGAGATTGAGGACACACACAAGTGAGAAGACACCACACATGCATGGCTTGGGAGGAGAAATACCAAAGACCACCATTCTATCCAGTGATCCACAGATCCAGGATAATTTCCAGTGTTTTTAACAAAGGAAAAGGGGCTGGAGAGATAGCCCAGTGGTTCAAGAGTAATGGCTGTTCTTGAAGATACCTGAGTTTAGTTCCCAACTAAACTCACAACAACTTGTAATTCTAGTTCCAAGGGATCTGATGTCCTCTCGGCCTCTATGGGCACTTGCATTCTTGTGTTGCATAGATGTAAGCAATCAGGTGGGCACGTGCATTAAAAGGAGGCTGGGTTGGATCACAAAAGACCCCAAATAACCAGAGCTGTCGAGCAAAAGGAACAATGCAGGAGGCATGACAAATCCTGCATCAGAGTAGCGCAGGGCCAGGACATATGGGGCATGCAGAGTAGTGGTGCAGAGAGCCCACACATAAAGCCACATGTTTATGGTCAACCGAGTTTACACTGAGACAGTTTGAGCATAGACATTAGAGAAACCAGGCAGTCTCTTTATTAATTTGTATACAAAGAAGGAGTCTGGGCCCCAGTCTTAACTATATACAAGAATAAATGAGCTAAAAACTTCAGTGTCAAATTGGAAACATAAACCTAAGAGGAAAAAATGGAGGAGACACACTTTAGAACACAGGCCTAGGCAAAGATTTTTTTGGGGTGGGGGATAAAACCCTAAAGTTTAGGCAACAAAGGGAAATCTATAAATTCATTACATCAGACTTAAAGATTGTTATGCAACAAAGCCAGTTAATAGAGCTAGGAGAACCAGTTGAGTTCAGGGGAACACTTGCAATCCACTTCTACAAAGGGGGCTTCAGAATATACAAGTAACTAAGCAGCAGAAATCAATCTGATTAAAAATGGTTGAGGATCAGAATAGGACATTGAAATGTTAATAAGCATGGGGGGATGCAAATCAAAAGGCACAGTGATAGATTCTCTCATCAGCCAGGACTGGTACTCATGACAGAAAAGCAAGGGAAGGGTAGATTGGTCCAGGTGTTAAGGGAAACGGTATGGACATCTCTGAGAAGCTGCAAATGGAGCACCGTGCATGGTTGCAGTGCATTCGGTAGGTAAAGAGGAGAGGATTGCGAGTTTGAGGCCAGCCTGGAATACATGTAAGATCTTGTTCTGAAAACCCAATACCTTGAGCCAATGAGAGGGCTAGCTCAGTTAGTTAGATAATTAATTGTGGATCTGATGTCTTGAGTTTGATCCCTGGAGTCTACGTATGGCTAGAAGGGGAAACTGATGCCATGAAGTTACCCTCTGCCCTCCCTGTGTTCGCCGTAACAGGTGTACACAGCCACATGGATACACTCAAATAATTAAACTCAAGACCAAAAATCAGGAAAAAATGTTAGGTAGAAGCAGCGTCTCTATTATCTTTTAGCCCCACCGTGATACACACACACATACACACACACCCGGGGTATTGAACTCAGTGCATCAGATAGCGGTACTTGCATTTATTAACAGCCCATGTATGGAATCAACTTAGGTTTTCCTGGAAAGATGGGTGGAGATGTACATATACATAACATATACGTATGCATATACATATACATGATGGGTATACAGTGGACTATTACTAAAAACGAGTGAAAAATCTCTCATTTGAAGCAGTTGGCATGGCACTAGAAATCTTGTTAGTGAAGTCAGTCAGACACAGACAAATCCTGCTGTTTTCACCTGTGTGCGGAAGCTGTGGTAAACACTTGTTCTTGAAGCAGGGAGTGGAGTAGTAGTTATCAGAGTCTGGAGGAGGGAGGTATGGGCAGAATCTGATCAGCAGGTTAGGAGGAGTGATGTTCTCCATAGCACAGAGGAGAGTTAGAGTTGACAGCACCCATTGAGGAGGAGATGAGTGCTCCGTTTGCTCTGATCTGATGACTGCCTGCCATATCCGTGGATTGAAATTCGACCATGTATCCAGTGAATGTGTAGTTACTGTGTGGCAGTTAGAAATAAAAATAAATTGAAACCTAATTGAAAATGTTTAACATAAACTTTGGAGAGTGCCTGGCCTGGAAGGGGTTCCACCAGAGAAGGAAATTGACTAGAGATGGCTGGCGTTGCAAAGGCTAAGAATTAGACCAAGTATGTGGATATGCGTGCTGCCTTGCGGGTGGTGAGGCCAGCCTTCACTGTCCTCCATGTGGGTGTTTTGAAGGGCTGCGTGAGCACAGGATTTCCCAGCGAGCACTGCTTTAGGGTGCCTCGCAAGAAAACTGAAGTTTTCTGGGAGGGAAGCGCAGGTGGGCAAGTATGGAGGGATCATGGTTCTCTTCAGAGTGGGAAGTCTCTGAAAGCTGTTAGAATGTGAGCATGTTTCTCATCAGTATCCACGAATCCACTGTGTGGCTCATTTGGTAGTTACTTCACTCTCCAGTTGCAGACCACTGGTTTACAATAATACTGCTAGTCATTTTTCTATCATGTCCTTTTGTGGCTTGGATTGTGAAAATACTATTCCTGAACTAGCTGTATTAACACTGGGGGCATCTAATGACTGTTGGGAGACTGTAGGCCTGGGTTAATGCTTTGGGTTCAGTCCACTTACTTGGGCTTCCTTAGTTTTGTTCTTACCTCTTCAGCCGCGTAAAGTGGAGGTGGTGATGCTCCCAGACACTGAAGTGAGTTTTGTGGGAACTTGGTGCATTGATTGATAGCTCTGGAATGCTGGAAGGAGAGCCCTACCTGCCGTGACATAGCAGCTTCTTTGGTTTTCACAGAAGAGTTTGCATTCAGTGCAGCAATGATGTTTTTATTAGATTAGATGAGTTCCTTCCCAGCTAGAGTATTCCTGTGGCTCCATGTTATGCCTGGAGTAGAAGTGGTGAGCTCTGAGTGGGCTCGTTACTTTGCCTGGTCTTGTTGTCCTGTATGATTTTGCAAAATGCAGGCCTGCTGTGGTATCTCCCTTATGCTAGTCCTGGTATGGGTACTTAGGGTGGCCTTCTGCTCCTTAGTCTTGTAGGGGAGTAGAACATATATAGGGTTTGCTGGAAAAAAAAATCAGGAAGTCAGAGTTGCTTGTCTTCTGATGGACTGATAACTTATGTGAGATATGAAGGCTTTCTGGTTCCCTGTCCTAAGTCTGTCATGTCAGTCAGTATTGCTGGGAGCATGTCTTTGCTGTGTTTGGGTCAGACCCCTCGGCAGCTGGCTACCCTGCTGTGTGGTCTTAGGGATGGCTGTGAGGTCTCCTGCTGCCCTTGTTGTCCTGAGTCTGAGATGCCTGCTGAATAGTGGCTTTCTTCTTCCACAGGCACAGCATTCATCATCCGTTTCATTTGCAACGATGACATTTACCCAGGAACTGCCAAATTTCTGCATCAGGACATCGACTCTACACGGGGGATACGGAACACTTTCTTTGAGTTTGAAACTGCATTGGCTTGTGTTCCTTCTCGAGTAGATTGCCAAGTAACTGGTGAGGTCTAGGAGTTTGCAGGCTTGGTTTGAGTAAGAATGCGTGCGTGCGCGTGCTCGCGTGTGTGTCTATATTGTCTGTGAGTGTCTACATGCTTGAATGCAAGATAACCATTTGTAAATGGGGCCTGTATGCTTTGCTTCATAGCTAGTATGGTGATTGTTGCCTGTTTGTAAGTGCTTCTTGGTGGTATAAATGTGTCTTTTAAAGAGGCATCTCCCCAATACAGTTAAGGGTTTAAATTACAATTTGGGGGTCAGGTGCTCCTGATAATTGAGAAGAAAACGCAAGTAAAAAAGAAAATCAAATTCAGATGTTATATCAGAGGTTCATATACGGAAGAAAAAAGACATAAGATCTAAGAGTTCCTTAGTTGTGCCCTGACCTGTCTGTGTCCCCTGATTCCTCAATCTCTGTGCTATCCTGTGATGGCTTTTCCAGCAGGAACACTGGTATGTTTCTGTAGGCCAGGCTTCTTGTGTATTTCCTTGGGTCTTGCCAGGTGCTCCATCTGCACCCTGGCAGTCTCTACATGGTGGGGAAAGAGGTCCAGAACACACAGAAAAAACATTTTCCATGGTGTTTCCTTCTGTTCCAGACCCAGCTGGGAACGAGTATGACCTCAGTGCCTTGAGCATGGCTGGGAAACCGTGGACTGCCGTGGACACCTCAGTGGACGGGAAGAAAAGAAGTTTCTATCTGAGCGTCTGTACTCCTCTCCCTTACATTCCTGGATGTCATGGTGTGCTGGAGCCCTCCCTTTGTTGCATCCCTGGAGTCTGACTTGCATCAAGATCAGCCCTGCTCACTCACCACTCTCTTGTTCGTTCAGGCAGTGCAGTGGGGTCCTGCATGGTTCTTCCCGCAGAAGACAGAGGTTTGAACTTGGGTGTGGTACAGATCAGTCCTCAAGCCGATGCAAACGGATCCCTCAGCATCCTATATGTCAATGGTGACAAGTGTGGAAACCAGCGCTTCTCCACCAGGATAATATTCGAATGTGCCCAGACGTTGGTGAGTGTGCCTGGCAGCATTTCTTCTATTCCCACTTCCCCCTGATCTCTGCATCTTCTATGTTGTTTAAAGTTTGTCTGTGTTTTTATAGATTTGGTGGCATTGTTAGTGTTTGACTAGAATATACTGTTTTCCTCTAGCCTGAGATACTACATAAAATACTCAATACTTGGCTTAAGCAAGTGAAAAGTTGGATATTAATCTGGGCTCTTTCTTGTTTTTGTTAAATAAGTAGAAAACAAAGCAAACCATTGGCTTCTGTTGCAGGGGTCACCCGTGTTCCAGTTCGTGAAAGACTGTGAATACATGTTTGTGTGGAGAACAGTGGAGGCCTGTCCTGTGGTCAGGGAGGAAGGTGAGCCCCAGGCTCCTGCCGCTGAGTTGCTATAAATGTGCAGTGTAGTAGACACCAATGCGTGGTGTCTCAGGAAGCCCCATCCTGGTGGCTGCTGGCGGGGTCAGGAGATGCCGGTGGGCACGTCACTGTTTCTCCTTGACTTCCTTACTAACCATTTTGTTAATTTTTACCACTGGTCTTTCTTTCCTCAACTTATGTTGGATTTTTGGTTTCTCTTGAAACCAGTAAAGCAGTCAGTATGGGTTTGGCTTCTTGAAATTTGATAATGTCTATCATCTGTCTTACACATAAACAAATCAGCATGGAGGTAGCCCACTTTTGAAATTTGCCAGTGATGCTGGCAAAATTTCTGCTGAAATTTGCTGGTGATGCAAACTCTATAGTCTCAGCTTCTCAGGAAGCTGAAGTAGGAGGACCATAAATTCAAGGCTTGCCTCCTTGGACTGTGAGTTTGAGGCCAGTGCAGGTAACTTAATGAGACACAGTCTAAAATCAGTAAATAGAGCTAAGAATGTAGCACAGTCATAAAATGTTTGCGTAGGGTGTGCTAGGTCCTAGGTTCAGTTCTCAGTACTGCAAAGTAAATAAGAAATTTAATTAAAAAGAAATTCTGACGCCTTGGAAATAGGAATGCATGTGTGATAGAATTTTCTCTTGGCTTCCTGTTTGTTCTTGAAGGAGACAACTGCCAGGTGAAAGACCCCAGGCATGGCAATTTTTATGACCTGAAGCCCCTGGCACTCAGTGACACCATCATCACTGCTGGCGAGTACACCTACTACTTCCGGGTCTGTGGGAAGCTATCCTCAAATGTCTGTCATGTCCGTGATGGATCCAAGGTAGTCTCGTCATGCCAGGAAAAGAAAGGATCACAGGGATTTCAGAAAGTGGCAGGTACTATTGTTTTTTCTTCTTCTTGAGTTGTAAAATGTCAAGACATAATGCCAAAGGTCACATTTCTCTAATATGGGAGGAATAAGCCATCTCCAACCAGAGCACATGCTGAATAACACAAGAAAATCCTCCCTCCCTCCCTCCCTCCCTCCCTCCCTCTCTCATTCCCCTTCATCTTCTGTTTATTTTATGTGGAGGCAGGGTGGGTATCTGCCTGACATCCACTGAGCACAAGTGGATGTCAGGACAGTTTGTAGGTGTTGGTTCCCTCCTTGCACCATGTATCTCCTGGGGATTGAACTCAGGTATTGAGATTTGGCAGAAGTGGGAGTGAGGAAGCCCAGAGTGTCAGGGAAAGCATGCCTGGGGTTAGCTGTTTCTGAAAGATAAAGGAGAAGTAAAAGCTAGGCTTTTCTGAGTTAGGACTCAGATGAGTGGGCTATGAACTGCAAGGAGGCTCTGTGTGGGACTTGCCCAGGGTATTTCTAACTCTGAGCCCATAGTTTTTTCTTTATGCCAGCTACGGGACACATTGATCTAGACAGCACTGGATAGCTGTAGGCAGTATATCCTAGGGCTGCATCAAAGAGGATATGGATAGTACAAGGCTTAGCTAGAAAACTGACAATGTTGTACTGCAGAGATACTGGCTGCCTTTGCAGAGGACCAGGATTCGATTCTGAGCACCCACATTGGTGGTGGACAACCATCTGTAACAGTCCCAGGGCATCTGATACCCTCTTCTGACCTTTGAAGGCACCAGATACGTGTGTGGTGCACAGACATACATGAAAACACTCTTGAAAAATAAATCTAAAACTGATATGAGTTATTTGGCGTGGTGGTGCCTACTTGCCATTGTCGCTCCAGCACTCCGAGTTGACATGTGAGGATCTTGAGTTGGAGGCCTGCTTATGCTCCATAGTGAGACTGTGTCTCAGTTAACAACAATCCCCTAGCCCCCATTTGACGAAATAAGTCACTTAAGCCATTTCAGCAGGTAGATGAGATTTAAATCAGCTTGATATTTAAAAGGGGCAGAGATGGCTACTGTGGGCAACATGAGAACTCACGGGAACTATAGTGAAGGTGGCATCTCTCAGGTTGTAGAGAACAACATACCACTTTATCCATGGTTTCTCTTAGGCTGCACCTGTGGGCAGCCATCTTCCACCATCCTGTAATGTGGACAGGATGAGTAGTCCAGCACCATGGGTGTGTGTGTGTGTGTGTGTGTGTGTGTGTGTGTGTGTGTGTGATGTGATGTGATGTGATGTGATGTGATGTGACAGCCAGGAGCACTTGTCACGAATCCCATGGACGTGCTTCTTCTTGAACAGGGCTGCTTACTCAGAAGCTGACTTACGAAAATGGACTGCTGAAAATGAACTACACTGGGGGAGACACCTGCCACCAGGTGTATCAGCGCTCCACCACCATCTATTTCTACTGTGACCGGAGTACTCAGAAGGTGAGCCTGTGGGAGTCTCCTGCCTTCCATTTCCACGCCCAGCCCCACTCCAGCTGCTGTTCTTTTAGTGCCGGTCTACTTGCCTAATAACATGCATCATTTACAGAACACCTGTTTGCATACCCTCCTTCATTTGTGCTCCCATGTTTATATATGTTCACCTTAACCTTTCCAGCCAGTGTTTCTGAGGGAGACTACAGACTGCTCCTATTTGTTCGAGTGGCGAACACAGTATGCTTGCCCACCTTTCAACGTGACGGAGTGCTCTACCCAGTAAGTTCATGTGCCTGTTGGCTCTTTGAGTCGGCGTACGTTGGTCAAATTTGGTTTTACAGCTAGTGCGTAGGTTAGTCCATTCACGTCTTTTCACACTGGGGCGGTTGGCTTCCGATGGTGCACATGGAGAGGTGACAGGGACAGAAGCCGGTCCCCAAAGCCTTCCTGGTTCTGGGGGCTGTAAGAAATGGAGTGGTCCACTGCCCTTTGTATACTAACTCCTCAGGACACTGCTTATGTTAGCAGCCAGGGCCATAGTGATAGTGGGCTCTTTCCCCAACTCTTAAAGTCGTGGATGGAGGGAACCACACAAATTGGTGCATGGTGGGTGAGGGAGTGTCCTATAGTGAAGCCCTATCCTGCTGGCTCTTACTGCCCATCTTGGTCCCTATCACATGGTTTCTTGTGACCCCAGCATGTGATTGGGGAAGTTTCCCCCCATAACTGGATTTCTATAGGCTCACTCAGGAACACATTGGGTCCTTCCCATTCTACATTGTAAAGATCTGCATCATCCCCACACGCTGGGGCACAGGCTGACTCTCTCTCTACTTCCCTCGCCTGCCCTGGGTATCATCTGTTTTATGTAGGTAGTAATTTGCTTTAGAGTATATGTAAACGCACACATTCAGTAATTTTGTGTATGACTGTAAATAATTGTTTTAGCAATGCTAATGGCAAAATGTTCTCATGTGAACCAAATTGGAACACTGTATTCTGACAGATGTGAACTGTCCTGTTCTCTTACTGCCATTTGAAGTTGGCTTTAGTTTTCCAGGGGTAAAATTTAGATTTCTTTTCTGAGCACATGAAACTCTTCCTAAAGGTATTGCTGTAGAAATGAAATTAGAAGAAATCCCATTAATAATTAAAATAGCAGTTCATATGTAGAGTAGTAAATTCATCCAGCACAAAAATGGATGCGGTGAGATCCGTCCCCTCAGCTTCACCCTGCTCTACTTATAGCCTTGTCTGGGAACGTTCTCTAACTCTGAATGCTGTGTTTGCCTCTGTTGTCAGCCTCCAGTGGTGTTGGTAGGTGAAGAATGTACAGTGATCCACTGCTCTGTATGTGGCAGGCAGGGGCTGGTTCCAAGACCCCTGTGGTGTCTGGGGATGTGTTAAGTCTCATATGAAGTACTGTGGTCTGTACCTGACTTGTGTACTTCTCCTGTATACATTAAGCCATGTCTAGATCACTTAGGATACTCTATACAGTATAATGTTGGCTAAGTAATAGTTATACTCTAAAGAGTAGCATGGTGAGCACATGAGTAACCATGGCAGGAGACTCCTGTGTTCAAGGCTAACCTGGGCTATGCAGAACCTCTCAGAGAAAACATTCCTCTCCTAACAGTTTCACTGCCTTGTTTAGGGGTTGGTGACAAGAAGAATAATCCGTTAACCACAGGGTTGCTTTCTGAATGTCTTGAATTCACATCAAGTTGAGCTCGTGGATCTCCAGAGCTGACTGTAACCCACTGACTTGACCCTTTGCCTCAGGCGTGTCACCTCTGTTAGATTGTGCACCTAGGTCTGTTTCTGGTTCTTTTCCTTGGCTGTCCCTTCACTTTCTAGCTGGCTCTTGCTCTTTTCCACTCCTGTCTGTGGCTCTGTGTAGTCACCCCGTGTCCCCATTGCTTCTGTCCTTGCCACACACCATTTTTTAGGCTCTGTATAGAACAGGAGAGTCCTTTGACAGAATCAGCCAGACTTGTGGCTGAGGTTGCCCTGCAGTGCAGTCAGCCCATCTCACTAGGAGCTGCAGGCTGAAGTTCCTACTGGGACTCTAGGACCCACCCAATGATACTGCTTTGGTGGTAACCGCAACTCCTGTTGTTTGGTTTCCCGTCTCACCCTCACTCAGCTCAACCACACTGTTTTGTTTTGTTTTGTTTTCCCATTCTTCAGCCTTGACAGGCTCTCAGTGCTGCAGGGCCTCTGCTCTGGCTGCATCTCTGCTGTGATGCACTTTTGGGATACTGCTTGCTCTGTGTGCTTCAGGTTTATTCAGAGATCGCCCTCTCGAGAGAGTATTCTCTGGGGACTGGGGAGGCAAGCCTGAGGACTTGAGTTAGAATCCTAAGTACCTTTCTACATGTCAAGTAGGTGTGGCTTGTGAGGCAGAGGCATGGTCCCCAGAGCAAGCTGGCTAACTAGACTATACAAATTGGTAAGCTCTGGTTCAGCAAGAGGACCTGCTTCAAGAACATGGAAAACAGTCAGGAAGACATCCACTACCAATCCGTGGTCTCCATGTACATGCAAACATTTATGTGAACACAAACATGGGTGAACAGGCATACTTCTCCCACCCCCAGGCATTGCCTGGCTGCCCTGTCTAAACTTTCAACTAACTCCAAACTTACATCCCATCCCTTCTCCTTGCTCCCCACCCCCATTTAGCTCTAATAGTTAAAGAATAGATCTTATCTGCGGCCCTTTCCTCTAATAACCTATGGAACTCCATGGGAGTGGCCCCTTTAAATCTATTTTGTTTGGTCACCTCTCCTGGCTCAGCCTTTACTTTTGGATGACTAGGCTTTTATTTATTTATTTATTTATTTATTTATTTATTTATTTATTTCAATTCTCCTTTGAATGTGGAGGCCCCTGAGCTTGTGCTCACCTGCCCTCACCTGAACTAGACCCGGTGTCTTGTGGCACCTGTGCCCTATCTTGCTTACATTGGTATTGCATTTGGCACATGGCCAGTTTTCCATACCTTTCTGTTGTCTAGGCGTGTAGTGCTGGTCTGTCATCCAGCAAAAGGTCTACGTGAACTCATACTCATTTCCAGTCATTGGTGGCCTCAGGTCTAGATAGCAGATGGCCCTTGGTGGGCAGCTCCTGGGAATGGCTATGGGTGCATATACTCTTGAGTGCCAGTGGTGACTTCTGTTGGCCACTGATTTCCACCTCTCACTGGCCTGTGTGTGGACAGTCTTTTTCAGACTTGGCTTTTCAGATAGTTCATTTTGTTGAAGCGAACCTTTACTCACCGAAGCTGAAAGGCTGTATTTTGCTTACTCTGTGTAAATATGGAGAGAAAGTCCTGTCCTCCAGGACATCTGATTCACAGGGCATCAGGGATGATGCTTGAGCTTTTCTGAGGAAAGTGCCAAGCATGTCCTTGGCATTCACTGAATCCTGGCCATGGCGTTCTGTTCCTTGCAGGGATGGGGCTGGCAACTCCATTGACCTCTCCTCACTGTCGAGATATAGTGATAACTGGGAGGCTGTGACCAGGACAGGGGCCACCGAGCACTACCTCATCAACATATGCAAGTCTCTGTCACCACGGGCTGGCGGTGGTGGTAAGCAGTCCTTTCCCCCTGGGGGTAGGGAGGTGGGCCAGGGTGGACCTTGTGGGACAGAAGACAGAGCAGGAGAGGCCTCCATGGGAGGGAGAGGAGCCGAGGGCCTTGGTGACAGGATCCCCATGTGATCCTCTGTTGATGCCGAGGACTCTTCAGGGAACACAGTAACCTGTCTGATTGTGAGAACATGGCTGTGGGTGGAAAAAAGCAGGATGGGAGATGGGAGGGGACTAGAGATCTTAGGTGGCCACTGTTGATCCTGTAGGGGACTTGAACCATTTAGGGTGAGTTCTCCCAGGGCCTGGGGTGAGAATGGAGATTAGAGGACACTGTGTGACCAACAGTTCCCCAACAGTTCCTTGGAATGCTGAAGGTGAAAGTCACCTATTTGGGGGAGTGAGGTACAGTCTTACCCATGGCACAAATGGTATCACCTCAGGTGATGCTTTTTTAACTGCACCCTTAGCATGATGGAGGCCATGGCCCACTTTCCCTGGCTGTGTTGTTCTGGGCAGCCTGTGACTCTGGTACAGGGCCAGCCCTTCCTCAGGGTACATGACACAGGTGCTTGGAGAAAAGAAGTCAGTAGAGTTCTTAGTAATATCTTGACTAAAGAGTGAGAACGTAGGCTCTAACAATGTTGCACTGCATCGAGGACTCCTAGCCTTACCATACACCATGTTCAGACATGATGGGAGGGAGGGGCTTGGTCTTGGATATTCTGTACCTCACATTTGCCCCAGCCCATTTATGGTTATACAGCATTTAAATGAGCACAAAGATGGGTGTCAAACCGTTGTGACTGGTGGAGAACAGCTGGCTGTTTTGGAGTGGTGGCGATGGTGAGCAGCTCTGGAGCAGTCTCCACTGCAGTCGCCCCAGGAGGCTCTGATTGGTCCTGTGTTGCAGAGCCATGCCCTCCAGAGGCAGCTGTGTGCTTGCTGGATGGCTCCAAGCCTCTGAACCTCGGCAAGGTGAGGGATGGCCCTCAGTGGACAGGTGGTGTGACAGTCCTGAAGTATGTGGATGGCGACTTGTGTCCAGACCAGATTCGGAAAAGGTCAACCATTATTCGTTTCACCTGCAGTGAGAGTCAAGTGGTGAGTTAATGGCTTCCAGAAAAATGTGTGACCATGAGATAGTGACACTAGCAGGCTTCCTTTGGGCACAGGAGCAAGAGCTCATGGTCTGGTGCATGCTGGTTGTGAAGGTCTGTGATCTGGGAATGCGCCTCCCCTTGTTGACTCCTTAGGCAATTACCTGGATAGTTTCAGGCACAGGGTTAGTCTGGTCTGGTTCCTTAAAGATCAGAAGGGCAGCTAGCACTTGGCTGTCTGTCCTGTGTTTGTGGGCAAGATGTAGAAAGGAGACCAGAAATGTCCGTGTCACATCTACAGCTGGTTGGCATGCCTCGCTGGGCTGGCCTTCTGAATGGCCTCCTTCCCTGGTTGCCTCCAGCGTTGGTGTCCAGCAGGTGTGGATGGCATGGTTGCTAATTTTTGACGTGGAGGAAACCCCTATGCTTCTGTCTGTGGTGGGGCACATCTGCATTGGGGAAATAGGGTCTGGCTAGAGAAGCCCCTTCTGTGTGTACAGGCAAAGGGAGTGAGGAGTGGAGGTCTGGGCAATCTTCAGGCCTCCTGCTTGGTTCCTTCTCATCTCCGAGGGAGCAGATGCCTTATGGCCACAATACACTGGAGGGTAGTGGGGCTGCCATGCATCAGTGCTAAGAGCCGCACAGGAAGGAGGGTGTAGTCAAAGAGTGAGTGAGTGGTCTCAGCTCCGTAACGGTGGGAAGCGCCTGAGGCCAGGAGTGAGCTGTAGCTGCTGCCCCAGAAGCATTGGTTTTAGTGACCCACTCTCTTGGTGGCTCCTTTTGTTTTCACTGGAACAGGTACTAGTTCTCTAGCTAAGCATTTGGTTAGTGTTTGCTCACAGAGTCCCTTTGCCTGGGCTCCCTGGGGCTATCCCTAGGACATGTCTGGCTCTGCTTCTGCCCCTGGTATTTTGCTGACTTGCTTGTGTGAGGCCCACAGGTACCTAACCTTTACTTTTCCTGACCTATGCTTACCCTATAGAGATACCCCAAGATTTATTCTGGCTTGGCTTTGTCAAGAAACCTTCCTGGGGCATGGGTGGTACCCCTACTGCACCAGCTACTCTAATGTGGGGTTTCTTTGCTTGCCCTAGAGCTCCAGGCCTCTGTTCATCAGTGCTGTGCAGGACTGTGAGTACACCTTCTCCTGGCCCACACCTGCCGCCTGCCCTGTGAAGAACAGTACACATGATGACTGCCAAGTCACCAACCCCAGCACAGGTGAGGGACAGGCGAGGAAGCACATTTGATGATGTTTGGGCATCTTTGGCCTTTTCTCTGAGCCTGCGCTCATTCTAGGAGGAAGCTACTACGTGTCCCTTGCCAGTCCCATCTTGTTTTTTCACTGTCCTGGCTAACTTTGCTGGTACCGCTGGCTATATCGGTGCTAGGGTCTATAGATATGCTGGGTACATTTCAGAGCCAATGGTACAGCTACTAGAAGGCTTCTGCCCTTCCTGTTCGCTCAGTGCCAAGAGGAACGTGGTTGGCAGACTGCTGATGGTTGGAGAGATGGATCAGGCCCTCAGGAACCCCAGTGGTTGCTGTGGGACACAGAGGCCTTCTTATAAATCTGGAGACTGCTGGTCAAGGGACAGGTGCTGCTGGTTGGAGTGCTTGGTTAGTGTGTGCAGAAGAGATATGGAAGAATGAAAATGACCCTCACTGATGCAATTTGAGTTTGCTGGTGACACCTTCCTAAGTCTCAGCTCCCATCTCCTGTCTACTGTGCAGGCCACCTGTTTGACCTGAGTTCCTTAAGTGGCAAAGCTGGCGTCACCGTCTCCTACAGTGAGAAGGGGTTGGTCTACATGAGCATCTGTGGGGAGAATGAGAACTGTGGCGCTGGTGTGGGTGAGTGCCATAGCCTCTTTTGCCTGACGGTTGTCCCTCCCTGCTGTCCCAAGGGCTGGCCTCAGCTCTGTCACCACTTCCAAGACCTATGCTACCACCCCTTGCAGTAGTTAGGAGATACGGGGCTGCATGACAAGTGATGCTAGATTTAACTGGGTCTGCAGAAAGTTTCCCAGGAAATTAGCCATTGGCCCCTTACCAGTGTTTTCCTGTCCTTCCACGTGGTGCAGGGGCCTGCTTTGGACAGACCAGGATCAGCGTGGGCAAGGCCAGCAAGAGACTGAGCTACGTGGATCAGGTCTTGCAGCTGGTGTATGAAGAAGGGTCCCTGTGTCCCTCCAAATCAGGCCTGAGGTATAAGAGTGTCATCAGTTTCGTGTGCCGGCCTGAGGCAGGACCTACCAACAGGCCCATGCTCATCTCTTTGGACAAGCAGACGTGCACACTCTTCTTCTCCTGGCACACGCCCCTGGCTTGTGAGCAAGTGGTGAGTGAAGACTGAGCATGCCTGTGTCACACAGCTGCACCTGGGTCTTCAGTTTCTGGGTTCCTAGCAGTCCCAAGGCTAGGTGGTCTTAGCTAATCTTCCTTTTTTCTTCTCTTGTGGGTAGAGGTCTCACACTATATCCTACCTAAGCTGGCCTTCAACTCACTGTGTAGTCCAGGCCAGCCTTCCCCTTTTGTCAATCCTCCTGCCTTAGCCTCTTGTGTGCTGGGACTGTAGACAAGTTCTGTCATACTTGGGTTTAGCTTCTTAATTTCTTTTGGATAACCATGGAGTCACTGTAGAGGAATTACTTGCAGACTCAAATGTAGTCTTTTTCTTTTGTTTCCCCCAGACTGAATGTACTGTGCGGAATGGAAGTTCCATTATTGATCTGTCCCCTCTCATCCATCGTACTGGTGGCTATGAAGCATATGATGAAAGTGAGGATGGCACCTCTGATACCACCCCTGACTTCTACATCAACATCTGCCAGCCACTGAATCCCATGCATGGAGTGCCCTGCCCTGCAGGTGCTGCAGTATGCAAAGTTCCCGTGAACGGGCCCCCTATAGTAAGTGCGTAAGGCCAAAGGTTAGGAATCTTTGCAAGTTTCTAGTTGTAGCCTATGTGCTGTGCCTTGTGCTCCCAGAGGAGTGTTCAGGCAGAAAGGATAGCAAGTGTATGCTCAGATGGCTAAGGAAGACTGGTGCAAAAGAGTATGGAGCTGCTAACCAGTAGTGCTGGCTAGGAAGTCTGAGCTGCATGAAGACTGAACAGTTGCTTTGATAGGCTTTTTAAAAGTAAGTGTATGCCACGTGTATTTAGGTGTTGTGGAGCTAGAATAGGGTTTTGATCCCTTGGGAGGAGTTCTAAGCAGTTGTGACCTCCCAGATGTTGGCACTAGACTATGAATTTGAGCATCCTCTGGAAGAAGGTACAGGTTGGTGGTCACATGACAGGGGCAGCTGGTGAAAGTGTTACAGGGTGCTTTTGATGAGTGTGAACAGCATTATTCACCACAGAGCCATCTCTCCAGACCCCAGACACTTTTTTCTTCTAAGATTTTTATTTTGATTATGTGTATGCATCCATGTATGGGTATATGTAAGTAGGTGTGGGAGTCCAGCAGAGGCAGAGAGATTGGATCCCTGAAGCTGGCGTTACGGGTGGCTATGAGCGGCCTGGGGTGTGTGCTGGGAACTGAATCCAGGTCCTATGCTAGAACAATGGGCACTCGTAACCACTGGGCCTTCTCTCCAGCCTCCCTGATGAGTTTTCTGTGTATTGTGTCAGGAGCCTCAGGGTTGAACCTGAGGTGTTTATACAGAATGGCAAGAGAGCACCAGCGTAGCTTGTGTTTTTGTTTCAAATACCTGTGTAATTAAAACACCCAAGAAATGCAGGCTCTTTCCTTAGTAATGAGTTACAATTAAGGGCAGAACAATTATGCTAATAACTAAATACGTGGCCTTGAAAGCTTTTTGGTGTACATTTGGGTGTTTCAAATTGTATTCATGGCTTGCTAAAGCCCTTTCACTGTTTTAAACTCTAAATTCACTTCAGTTGTAAGTTCTGTTGTGGGACATCAGATGTCCTTTAAAAGTGAAGTGTGGTATTGTGTAGAGGATGACTAAGGCATGAACCACATTTTACTAGGAAGTTCTTGAATAACATCCTGTCAAGCCATTCTGATTGTGAATCATTTCCCAGAGGTCTAGTCTGATGAGTTTTTCTGCTTGGTCATTCTTTGTAAGATTAAAAATTTGCCTCAGGTTCTTTCACTGGTGAAGGTATTATGTTGTGTGGTCTCAACATAACCCACAGTGGTGATTGAAGACCTTTGCAGCTGAGAGCAAAGCCCGAGAGAACGCACACTCTCAACATATACGCGCTCATGTACACACACTCATGCTCGTAACTGGTGTAGACATACTTCCACACTTACACACACACACTCTGCACATATGTACAGGCATGTTTCCAGTCCATCTGCCTTTCATTCACTTACTTAAAGGTACCTATTGAAGAGCTGCTGTGTGTCAGCCACTGTCCTAAGCAATGATATATATTGAACAAGAGTTGTCCCCTGTGTGAATGTATCCAGTAGGTACTGCTTAGCTGAGTAAGGGGCAGTCTCAGGACACCAGCAGGAGCATTGCCAGGGCTCTTGCCTTCCTCCTCCTGGGGCTGGGGATGGTAGCATTCTTGCTGTGAATGAGGAAAGAAATCCCTAGGGCTTGGACTCTGAAAGCTGATCATGAGTAGAAACGCCCTTGGTGCCCACCCAAGCTTCTCCAGTCTCACACAGATTGCACACGCTGGCGATCTGCTTGTTTGACACTCACGAGCAGCAGGAGTTGCTGCTTGAAAGGCTGATGACTCAGTTCCTAATCTGCCAGCCTTGGGCTGCTCATGAAGCGCCATCTGCTTCCTTCTGTTGTAGGACATTGGCCGAGTCACAGGTCCTCCGATATTCAACCCTGTGGCGAATGAAGTCTACTTGAACTTTGAAAGCAGTACTCCTTGTTTAGCGGACAAGCACATGAACTACACCTCGCTCATCGCCTTTCACTGCAAGAGAGGGGTCAGCATGGTAAGTGTCCTGCCACCTGTTAACCTCCACTCACAGCACCTTCTGTGGTATCTTGAAACCACTTCAAACATTACCTGAGGCAGGAGTTAACATGGATACTTTCTGTCACTCATGGATGCTCTAGTTAACTAATTCCGAATGCATCAAAAGGTTGAAACATCTTTTGATTAGAAAGTCAGGCTTTAGGGCACCTGCCATCATCCATCCTGTAGCTTTGTCATCTGTCAGGACCAGATTAGTAAGTGGACTGTTCTCAGCCCTGACTGCTGACCCCTGCAATGGATGCACTTGAGGGCACTCATGCCATTCCCAGTGCCCTGGGCAGTTGATGTGCTGGGAGAGGTTTTGAAAGGTTTCCTTCCCAGTGTCTTTCCCGTCTGTAGTGGAAGTGCTTTCCCATACAACTCACCCAAAAGAGATCTCATCAGCAAGTGTAAACAGAATTCCAAAACAACTGGCTGCTCTGTCTTTTGCTGCTGTTGGATAAGGGAGAGAGAATGCTCTGATTCAAAGCCCATTAGCCTGTGTCCTGTGTGGCTGTGTTACATTTTCCCTCATAAGTATCCCTGGTGCCCAGATATGGTAGAATGCAGACCTGCTTTGGTTTGGCTGTGCTTGCTTGTGTCTTGTGTGGTAGGGATGTAGTTCCTCCCTGCTCCTAGGCAAGAGTGTGGTGGATCTTGTACTCACACCCCATGGTTTCTAAGACTCGTGCTCTTCTTGGCCACAGGGAACTCCTAAGCTGATAAGGACCAATGACTGCGACTTTGTGTTTGAATGGGAGACTCCAATCGTCTGTCCCGATGAAGTGAAGACGCAGGGCTGTTCTGTCACAGATGAACAGCTACTTTACAGCTTCAACCTGACCAGCCTCTCTACGAGCACTTTCAAGGCAAGACTGCCTTCCATAGCCAGGGGCTCTGACTAGTGAGATGGGCAGGAAATTCTGTGGCACAGGTGGATTACAGGCAACGTGGCTTGGGGACATGCATTGGACCACATAGCCTTGTGCCAGGGCAAGATTAGTATGGTTACAGAAATCCACAGAGAATTGCTTAATTGCCGGCCTGAGCTCAATGTAAAGAGATCACAGTTTACCAACCACAGAGACAGTGAGTGACTTGGTGTTGTGCAAAGCTCTTCAGCCATGATCCTATGGGTAGGAGGAGGTGGTGGTGGGGGCTGTCAGTGAGTCTGTGTGGTTATTGCCAAGACATTGCAGTGTATGGACTGGACTACCACACCTCAGCACCTGCTTGTGCCTGGCAGCTGGTGAGTGGTGAATTCTGAACTTGTCTCCAGGAGTTGGCACCTGTGAGAGCAGGGAAATGTGAGCATCAGGGTCTGGCTCAGGACAGCTGGGCAGCACCCACTGGCTGCCTGGGCCAGGGGAGAAGACAAGAGGGAACCAAGACTGGTCTGGGGTGAGGGAATTTTGACCTCTTCTAGTGGCCAGAGGGAACTGCTTAGAGTGTTAGCAGGGCATTCCTGGTTGTCACTGGAGTTGGTCTTGGGCCCAGGAAGACAGCAAGGGAGCCATGGTGCTATCCAGGTACAGGAAAATGAACTGCAGTAATGTTTCTGTCCTTACTTGGAGCCCTGCTCTGTTCACATTGTCCACAGCCAAATGTGCTGTTTGTCTATACAGGTTACCCGGGACTCTCACACGTACAGTATAGGGGTGTGCACCACAGCAGCTGGCTTAGACCAGGGAGGCTGCAAGGACAGTGGCGTCTGTCTGCTATCTGGGAGCAGAGGGGCATCCTTTGGGCGCCTAGCATCGATGCAGCTGGATTACAGGCACCAGGACGAAGCAGTCATTTTGAGCTATGTGAATGGTGATCCGTGCCCTGCAGGTAAATCTTCTGGTAAATAGATTAGACTCAGAAGGGAAATATTTGAGGCGTGAAGCTGCAAATCTGTGAGTACCACACTTTGCCACAGCACTCTCCCTGGTGTGAATGCCTAAGCCTGGAGCATGCATGCTGTCTGTCGCTTGTTTGTTTGGGGGAACCCTGGCTGTCAGGCAGATAGGCAGCTTCTTAGGGACTCCTTGTTGGGTGTCCTTGGGCAATGGCATCTAGTAAGGCGTTGATATGTCTAAATGATCTGTTTCTTTCCTTCCAGAAACAGAGGATGGTGATCCCTGCGTCTTCCCCTTCATCTACGAAGAGAAGACCTATGAGGAATGTGCTTTGGAGGGACGGGCAAAACTATGGTGTAGCAAAACTGCAAATTACGATCGTGACCATGAATGGGGCTTCTGCAGACAGAGTGAGTGGGGGCTGAGTTTGGGGGGTGGGGGAGCAGCTGTTCTAGGGATGGCCAAGTTAATTAAGCCCGTGATTTTATCATGTAAGTTTTGTTCTTGTTAGCTACAGAAAGTGTTAGCTACAGCACAAGTATATACTAAATCATGGTGAGCTGTGCTGAGAATGGTCATACGAAGTGGCCAGCTCGGTCCACGCAGTAGTCTGAGTGACTGCTCATATACCAGCATTTGGCTCTGGTTCAGATTCACTCCTCTGCTAGACTCCTCTCTGGGTCTGCAGTGTGGTTAGTGAGTGTTGAGTCACTGAACACACCACTTGTGGGGTGGTGGTGTTTATGGAGAGCCAAACTTAGCACCTTGGCTCCTTTGCAACTTAGGGATGGAGGAAGAATGACACGGATGCCTGAAAATCTCTGGAATTATTTGAGTGACCAAGGAAAAGTGTTTGGTTTATGAGAGATAGCTCCAAGGCTTGTGTTGACAGATAATACTTGTGGCCCATGAGTGACACTGAAGTTTTAAATTCTTGTCATCATCAGTTATGTGGTCAAATGTTGAGTGCTTTCCCAGGAGGAGTCTTAGAGGTGTTGTGGGAACTGAGACTTGGGATAGACCTGCAGGACAAACCATGGCTGGGATAGGAGGTGGGAGACGTCCAGGTGTACACCCACCGTAGGTCTGACCATTGCATGCCACTGCTCTACAGCCAACAGCTACCGGATGTCTGCCATCATATTTACATGTGATGAAAATGAGGACATTGGGAGGCCAGAAGTCTTCAGTGAAGTTCGTGGCTGTGAGGTGACGTTTGAATGGAAAACAAAAGTTGTCTGCCCTCCGAAGAAGATGGAGTGCAAGTTCGTTCAGAAGCATAAAACCTATGACTTGCGGTTGCTCTCATCCCTCACAGGGTCCTGGGACTTTGTCCACGAAGGAACCTCGTGAGTGTCCCCCTGCTCATGGCCCCTCAAGTTTGCAGATAGGAATATCATCACATAATCACCGAGTGACTCTGACATCATAGTGTGTGGGGAGTTATAGTGAACTCACATGGATACTGGAGCCCTGGTGGTTGTGAGGGGCTTCTTGATGCGCAGGGCTGAGGGCAGTATGGGGTTTCTAAGATTTTTGCCGGGTCTTCAGCGCTGTCTTTGCCTTTTGAGCTAATTACTCTGACTGCTCCATGTGAGGAGTGCTTGCTCTGCCAGGCACCCTGAGCCCTGCAGGTCCTGCTGCAGATCCGGACTGTGAATTGGAGGACTTAGGAGAGTGTCTGCTATACCTCCACAGCTTTCTCTCCCCTCTCTGCACTGTGCCAGGACTACATGGGGACATGTATCTGCATGTGAGCCTGTCCAGTCAGCTACCTTCTGTAACTACTCTGAGCTCCTGCACTGACAAGGCTGCTCTAGGAGCCACCTTCCAAGGCAGCATGGAGGATCTCAGGGTAGAGGTTTCACTCCCTTTCTCCCCACCCCTTTGTGTCATTCTATAGGTACTTTATCAATCTGTGTCAAAGAGTATATAAAGGACCCCTGGACTGCTCGGAAAGGGCCAGCGTTTGCAAGAAGAGCGCATCTGGCCAAGTCCAGGTTCTGGGGCTTGTTCATACACAGAAGCTGGATGTCATAGGTAAGGCTCTGGGGTCCTCATCCTTGATTCAGTTGCTGCATCAAGACTGGCAAGGAGAGGCTGTCCCTGGTGTGATGGGGAAAGTACCCGAGCTTTGGTAGAGACTTCACTCCGGCATTAATTGAAGCATTTCTTCCCACTTCCCGGAACATGAAATTATATGCTATTCTGCATGCTTGTTCTGAGGCCTGGCTAGCCTGTCTGTTTAAAGCCCCTCTGACGATTGTGTTGTGGCCTCTAAATCTATGTCTGCTCACATGTAAGAAATCCAGTTTCCCAGGACTTGGTACAGATTAGCATGTCTTTCCTCAGTACTTGGACAGTAATCATGACTCTTTTCAGTAGTTTGAATACAACCTCATTGGTCACTGAGGAGACGGTATATCTACTTACTAAAGGACTGTCATACTTCTTGGCTAAGAATGGTTAGGCTGTGTTGGGTGTTTGGACGTTTTGCCCTGCCTGTCAGGCTAGAGTGGGGTTCTGAGTCATGCTGATTGAGCTACGAGATGACATGGATTTTGAAATGGAGAGTGAATTCTGAAGGAATCACCATGACCTTTATTCATAAACCCAGGTTTGACAGATTGGTAGAGTCACCATACAGGAGTGTCCTCAGAGGTGCCTCACTCTGGGAATTAAATTCCCAACATACGAACCGTGGTGGGCACACTTACGTCTTAGGAATCCTATTCCCAAAAACCTGGGAGTCCTTTGGAGTAGGATGGGAGTCGTATGGGTTTGGCTGTGAAGGTTTAGCATTCCCGAGGAGCCAGGAAGCTCATGGTCATACTGTTGCCATGGCAATGGTGGTGTGGGCCAGTAGCTGTCTTTGAGCATGGTAGACACCTTTAGAGCTGGCACTTGTCTTTACAGTAGATTTTTAAACTCCTGATGTTTTCATAATGCCCTAGAAATAACACCAGTTCATTGCTTTCTTTTTCAGATGACAAGGTCATTGTCACTTACTCAAAAGGCTATCCTTGCGGTGGTAATAAGACTGCATCCTCTGTAATCGAGTTGTCCTGTGCGAAGACTGTGGGCAGGCCTACATTCAAGAGGTGAGACAGTGCTCTGTGCAAGCACACTGTGGCTCTTTGATGCCTCCACTGTTTCCACATGGAGTTGGGAAATGTGTACACAGATGACAGGGTATTTGGGGCTGTCACTGTAGGCAGAGGTGGCAGCTGAGACTGAGGGCCTAGAGGCCAGAGCTGCAGATCGTCTTGTCCTGTGCAGTGTTTCTTCCCACAGGAGGCACTGCACCCCCTACTTGAGTGCAAAGATACAGCATAACCAGGCCACTTCAGCTCCTTAGCATGGTTTGCCTTAAGAAACATGCTTTCAAATTGGCTTTGGAGATGCCTTTGCTAACCTAAGAGTATAGGGCTAGCTGCTCCCCTTGCATTTCATGGTGAAACTAGGGGCCACTACAAGCAGCCTGTCTAGAACCTACCCATAAGCAGGTTCTGGGATGTTCTTGAATGATTACATAGTATTCCAGGCAGTGTTGGGTGCCTAGGGGGAGTGTAGCCAGCAGGGGGAGCATGTGAACTGCTGCTTTGGAAGCTGTGCTTTTGAAAATGCAACCATAAAACTATCAAAGGGCTTTTTAACTTGAGATTCAGGTGCTTGAAAAAGTGAGATTTTGAGGTCTAGGTGTAGAATTTCCAGCCTTATTAAGACATTTTTGTTGAGCTGTATTTCTAGCTATAGAGAGAGGCTTGAACCCAGGGCCTCATGCAGGCTAAGCAAGTGCTCCCTTCTTGCTGTGTTTCCAGCTCCCTTTCGTTGTTTTTGAGACAAGCTGTCACTAAGGTACCCAGGCTGGCCTTGGATATTTGTTGTGTAGCTGTGACAGGCACTTATTACCTTCTGCCTCTGCCTCCTGAATGGCTGGAATCCCAGAGCCAGCAGGCACCAAATCCATGTCCACTTTTCCATATTGCTGATGTTATCTTTATTACTGTGCTGAAGTATGGTGATTAAGGTAATGGTCCTACCCAGGAGCTGTCATTCACACTGTATGCTGTGGGGACCAACAACTGTGACTCCCAAGGACCCTTCAGTACCCAGCCTAGAGCTTCTTGAAACAGGCCTCCCCAGCTGTGTGTCTGGCAGCTTTTCTGTGCATAGCTCAGTGGTGGCCGTGTCTACTCCCTCCCAGGTTTGACAGTGACAGTTGTACCTACTACTTTCGCTGGGATTCAAGGGCTGCCTGTGCCGTGAGGCCTCAGGAAGTGAGCATGGTGAATGGAACGCTCACCAACCCTGTGACCGGCAGGAGCTTCAGCCTCGGGGAAATTTACTTTAAGTAAGTGGAAGATTGCCTCTTTGGCATTTACACGTAAGTCAAAAGTGAACAAAAAATGTGAGGCTTTCCCTAGCAGGAGTGTTACAAGGCAAGTAGTTTGTGTGCTACCGTTACTGTTGCTAGAGTAACCAAGTACTGCCTAAAACAAAGAATAGTTCTGTTTCTCATGGTTCAGCACCACAGATGGTGAGTCTTTATAAAAAGCAGCTCCTTCTCCCCTCACCACTAGGGAGCCCAGGGGTTGTAGCCAAGGATCTTGGGAAGTGTAAGGGAACAAGGGACCTTCTGGGCTCACCAACGTGTTGGATAAAGTAAAGGTCCATCTCTTGGCAGTGTCATTGGGCTGTCCTGGGATCCTTTGGTTGTAAGGGGGCAGAGTGCATTGCATGTACTATCTACAGTGTGTATGGAGGTGACACTGTGGGACAGGAAGATGACTGAGGCCTTGCCTGACTGGAGTATGCAGGAGAGTTGTGAAGGCTTGTAAGTCACTGTGCTCTCCTCTGCCTCAGGCTGTTCAGTGCCTCTGGGGACATGCGAACCAATGGGGACAACTACCTGTATGAGATACAGCTCTCCTCCATCACCAGCTCTACCAACCCTGCATGCTCTGGTGCCAACATCTGCCAGGTGAAGCCCAATGATCAGCACTTCAGCAGGAAAGTGGGCACCTCTGACAGGACCAAGTACTATGTCCAAGGTAACTCACTGCTGCCTGTGCAGCTTTTCAGAGGGAGAGTTTTGCATGCTCACCCACAAACCCACTGTGGAAATCCCAGAGTGATTCCAGAACCAAAGCCCTGGTGGCCAAAGACAGAGGAAGGCAGGGACAAACAGTGCAACTATGACCTGGCATTATACATGCTGCTTCCTTATTCAGAAACTCTTAAGTAGTTAGAGAAGAGCAGGTTTCACCAGGGAGCTGGGTCAGTGGGTAAGGGTGCCTGTTGCCAAGCCTGAGGACCCAGATTTGATTACTAGGACCCACATGTTAGGAGAGACAAACTCCCCTAAGTTGTCCTCTTATCTGCAGACATTTGCCATTGTAGGCACATTGTCACACATAATTAGCAAGCAATGTTAAAAAAAACAAAACAAAACAAAAAAGAAGATTAAATAGTGGGAATGGTGGAGGAATGGCACCAAGCAGAGTGAGAATAGATGGGGAAGGTTGTAGACTGGTACCAGAGTCATTTTTGATATCAGGCAAGTATGTTCCTGAAGGTCACGTGTAGTTTTTTTTGTTTGAAATAACTCATCTTTCACCATGTCCTTTTTGTAATTTGCTTTTGAACCATGTGACTATGTTAACTTTTAAAATGGTGTTTCCAGATGATCAAGAGAATGTGAGCTGATAGAGTGAGGTTAAAGCAGGCGCCACACAGTCTTCCTCGCCAAGGGCGAGGTTAGTGGCTTCCCACAATTCACTCTCATCTGGAAGATTGGTTGAGGACTCTCGTAATTCACTGGAAGTTGTTGTCCTCATTGCAGTTGATTACAGTGGAGGGTTTAGATTGTTGTCACCCATGACAGGACGCTCATGGGGAAGGATCGGGAGCCAGGTGCAGGTCCTCCCCTGGCCTCTTCCGTGGAACCAGGATGTATTGCTGTCATCCCCACAGCAATGTGTGATATCTTTCATGGAGCATTGCTAGCTAGGCATGCTCCCTGAACCTTGGAGCTTGGGACCTCTGCTGGATTCCATTGTCTAGGCACAATTGCTTGGTGCCTGGGTGGTTGCTCTCACTTGCTAGGTAGAATGAGACCTCCTGGTCAGCCCACCATAAATCCTATTGCCACACAAGGACAAGAGCCAGACCTCATGGTAGATGAGGTTACACTCTTTGCTTGCTTAGGATGCCAAGTTGTTTTTTAAAGCCATGAAGACAGTGCACATGGGACATTGAAGGGTCCACTTCGTGGGTGGTAATGATGCTGTGGTTGTCTCCTTCTCTGGGTGACAGATGGCGATCTGGATGTGGTGTTTGCCTCATCCTCCAAGTGCGGGAAAGATAAGACCAAATCTGTCTCATCCACCATCTTCTTCCACTGTGACCCTCTGGTGAAGGATGGGATCCCAGAGTTCAGCCACGAGACTGCTGACTGCCAGTACCTGTTCTCCTGGTACACTGCGGCTGTGTGTCCTCTGGGGTGAGTGTGGCAGCCCATGTCCTTTCCCATCACCATTCAGGACTAAGCTGCTGTGTTTTCCCTTAGCATTATGCTGGGAAGTATCAACTTGCTGTTATTGTTGGTCTGTGACATTGTCACCTCTGCCCTGTCCCAAGTAGTATGGAGTGTGCTTCCTTCATGCATATCATCTCCCTTTCCTCAGCAGCTGGCTGGCTGTGGTTCCTTCAGCATTCTCTGTGTGCTCCAGTGTATGGCACATGGCGGGCTTCAGTTCAGTTGGAGTGGAGCATTTTCTGTATTGGGGTGGAAGAAAGGCACTCACTCTGCAGGTCCTTAGGATATGCTCCAGAGTCTGGGGTCTTATGGGCAGGAGGGGGACTGTGCTGGTCCTCTGAGGACTCCAGTCCAGGGACGGAAGAAACTCACAGTGGTCTCATGTCCAGGGGCCATTATAGTTATTTGCATGTGGAAACTAAAACCCATTTATTTATAAGTAATCCTTGGTTTAAAGGAAAAATCAAAGTTAGAATTTGAAGAATTTTCAGAGGTGAACAACCATGAAAATGTCCCAGAGTATCTTAATGTCTGTCTGAGTGGCTTGTGCTAGCTCTGGCTTTGAGGAAGAGGCCTGCAGGCTCTCACACTGCCATTAATATGTGACATTCCCACCCCAGCACAGGTTAAGAGGTGTGGGCTAGGGCTGGTTGAACATAAGGCCCTTTATTTCCTGTCTTCCTGATGTTAGAACAAGATTGTTTGGCTTAAGATGCAATGTCATTCAGAGCTGTTGCTTGGTTATACTCTCATCCAGTTAATTTGAATTAGTTTGGAGCCAAATTTTCATGGTAATTGGCTTTCTTATATGAACAGCCTGTTTGCCCCCAAAACTCATGTCTTTGCAGCTGTGTGGCCTGGGAGGCAGTTCTTCTTTTATTATGAATTCAGATGCTTCTCATCACTCTTTTCATCACTGTCCCAGCTTTCTCTGAGGGAGAAGATCTGGTTGTGTCATTGTGTTGTGTTGTTTGGTGGTCTTGAGTGACAGGAGACCAAGAGCTCTGAAGTGTCAGGTTTTCGTGCTAAGTCTTCCTGAGATAAGTCTTCCTGAGCAGAAGAGAAGGTCAGCTCATGTCCATTATGTACAGCTACTGCTTCCCTTGTGTGTTGAACTTCCTGGAAGTCCTGCTTCCTCCCTTGGGACTGGCACCATTGAGTGGGCATGGTGGAATTACTCCATCTGTAGTAGTGTTCTTGATCCAGCTGTGCTAGAGCCAGCAGGCTCCACATTGTTCGTACCTAAGCCAGTCTGTCTTAGATAGCCCCTCTACCTAGAAGCCCCAGGGCTAGATCATAAGATGGCCCATATAGGAGAAGCCCTGTCTTTGCCTGGCCTGCAGGGTTCTTCAGTGACAGGCAGACCCAAAAGGAGATGATGTCCATGGCTGGTCGAAGTCTTCAACTCCTGGTACTTCCTGATACCTACAGCAGTATTTCTGTCATTAGGCCTGTTCCTTCTGGAAATGCATTCTCAGAGCACTCTAGATGCTGTTTTCTAAGCCTAGTGGATCATGTGTCCTTGGAGTATTGTTCCTGACAAAGCTTCCTATCTGTGTGGTATCTTTCTAGTGTGGCCTTTGATGGTGAGAATGCTGGGCCAGAGTATAAAGGACTCTCAGAGAGGAGTCAGGCCGTTGGGGCGATCCTAAGCCTTCTCCTGGTGGCACTGACTTGCTGTTTGCTGGCCTTGCTGCTCTACAAGAAGGAGAGAAGGTAAAGTGGGCAGTGAGGTAGGAGGGACTGGGTTGGGCCAACAGTTCATCAAATCTTGGATATGGGTTTGAGTTTTGAGCCTGGCAACAGCAAACATCTAGATTCAAAATTCTAAGCCGTGGATACCATTGCCTTTAAATGTTTTTATTTCCATGACACGACATGCGATTGCCCAGAACTTTGGCATTGTTCATAGGTGCCAGTGTGGTACAAGTTCACACTGGGTATGCACATTTCAGGTTCTAGTTCACACTGGGTGTGCACACTGCAGGTTCTTGTTCACACTGGGCATGCACACTGCAGGTTCTGGTTCACACTGGGTATGCACATTGCAGGTTCTAGTTCACACTGGGTGTGCACCCCACAGGTTCTCATTCATACTAGGTATACACTGCAGGTTTTGGTTTACACTGGGTGTGCACACCACAGGTTCTGGTTCACACTTGTATGTACATAGCAGGTTCTGGTTCACACTGGATATGCACATTGCAGGCTTCTCAGCTGGTGCATGTGGGTCCAAGATACGTGGGCCTTATGTGAAGTCTGCAGACTCTCATGAAATTAAGAATCTTTCACGAGCCGATTTTAATACTGATCAGCTGACTCTCCTTCCCCACATCACACAAAGTGGGCATTTATTAGCCGCCTGCTGTGTGTCAGGTGCACTCTTGTGTTGGCCTTGCTTTGCTAGGTGAAGGCCTTTTCTTTTTTTTTTTTTTAAAGTCAGATTTTCATGTCACACATTAGAGAGGCCCTGGGCAAGAGGAAGGGTGTACAGACTGGAGCGAGCCATGCTCAGAAGTGAACTTGGAGGGACAGGGCTCAGGCAGAGCAATGGACATGCATTTGTGGATGCCACCATCAGAGTAGTCTGGGCACACAGAAAGTGTTTTCCTGACATTGACCCTGTGGATCTCAAGGTGGAGCAAGAATGGCATTTCTCTGCCTGTTGCCTAGCCCAGTGGTTCCAGTTTTGCTGTCACAGCTAGTTGTTAGTCATTCCAAATGCCTTGCCCTGACATGTGTGTAGGACATAGCCCTTAGGAGTCATATAGAATGGGCTTGTGGCCAGCTGGCGGGGTAACCTGTCTCTGCTCATGCTTCCGTCCGTTTACTGTGGCTTCTATTCTGACAGGGAAACGGTGATAAACAAGCTGACCAATTGCTGCAGAAGAAGCTCAGGCATATCCTACAAGTACTCAAAGGTATTGTCCCCTGAGTGCGGGCGGCAGCTGCCCCCACCCCCACCCCCCAAGCACTGCCCAGTGCTGCCTGAGCCTTCCTGTGTATTGGGAAGTGTCTTGGCAGCTTGGCATTGGGAGGGAAACCTCATTCTTGCACCAGTTCTGTGGACTTCCTGTCTTCAAGTTTCTCTCAGTATGGCTGTGGCTGGTTTTCCTCACAGTGTTTGATAGTCTGTTCCCAGATTTTTGGGAACTCTTAGAAAAAGCCCCGTGATGAAGTCTCTGTATGCCAAGCATCTCTCAGACTTTCAAAAGAAGCCAAAGGTCACAGATAAGTATGCAGCCCTCAGACATGCATAGGTAGAGGTTTCCTGTCCCGCCAGCCTCTCCCAAAAAACCACATCGAGAATTATTATTAATTTTAAATTCTCGGCCCCTACTTAGGCTTGTTACTAACTAGCTCTTATAACTTAAATCAACCCATATTTCTTCTTCTTCTTCTTCTTCTTCTTCTTCTTCTTCTTCTTATTATTATTATTATTATTATTATTATTACTATTATTATTTTAGAAACAGTCTTATTTTACATATCAATCCCAGTTCCCTCTCCCTCCCATCCTCCCATGCCCTCACTGGCCCCCCAGCCCATCCCCTACCCACTCCCCAAGGATAGTGAGGCCTTCCATGGGGGAATCATCAATGTCTGTCATATCCTTTGGGGGAGGGCCTAGACCCTCTTTCACGTATCTGGACTGCAATAGGGATAAACACTGGCTCCACTGTTAGAGGTCCCATAGACTGCCCAGGCCTCCTAGCTGGCACCCACATTCAGAGGGCTTGGTTCGGTCCAATGCTGGTTCCCCAGTTGTACGACTAAGGTCTCCATGCTCTCATTAGGTCAAGTCAACTGTTAGTGCAGGTTTCTCTAGCATGGTTTTGGCTCCTTTGCTCCTCCCTCCTCCCTCTCTACAGCTGGATTCCAGGAGTATGGCTCAGTGTTTAGCTGTGTAACCTGTATTTCTTATCTACCCTCTGCACGTGGCATCATGTTCATATTGCTTCTTTCTGCATCTCCTCCCTACTCCTCAGACTGCCCCAAAAATCCTGCCTAGCTGTTGGCCATTTAGCTTCTTTATTAAGCCAATCACAGTAACATATGTTCACACAGTGTAAAGGAATATTCCACAGACATAGTGCCAAATCCCTTTTAAAATTCAATTGAGGCTAGGAAGATGTCTCAGCTGGTACAATGCTTGCCTTGTCAGCATGAGGACCATAGTTCAGTCCTCTGGAAACCTCCCCCCCCCTTAAAAAAACAAAAACAAAAAACAAAAAAATCCTGAGGCATGGTGACACATACTAGAATGCCAGCACAGGGGGAATTGGAAAGAGAGCTCTGACCTCACTGGCCAGTCAGCCCAGTCTACTTGGTGAGCTCTAGTCCAATGTGAGACCTTGTTGTAAAACAAAAGAACCGAGGTGGATAGCTTGTGATTTTCCTGTGTGTGCACACACATGCATACATGTGCACCTGTGCACATTGGAACATACACATAAATAAAATTTAAAAATTCTGTTCTCGGATGAACGTCCTTCCCTTGCACGCCTGATGCCCTCTCCCCAGCACATAGCTGCCCAGGAGAGCCCCTCTCTGCCAGCACTACTTAGCATTCATGGGCCACACCAAGTCCCATCTGCCTGACGTGCTCATTTCCTTGTGAGGCTCTTGCCAGTCACTCTGCTTTGCAGGTTCTCACCTCATGCCAGCATAGTGAGGCCCTGAGGTGTGCTGTATCTAGAGAGCTCACAAGCAGCAGACGAGCGTCTTTGCTGGCTCTCACCAGGTCTCTGCTGTTGTTTCCCGGCAGGTCAACAAGGAAGAGGAGACCGATGAGAATGAAACGGAATGGCTGATGGAAGAGATCCAGCTGCCAACCCCAAAACTAGGCAAAGAGGGACAGGAGAACGGCCACATTACCACCAAGGCCGTGAAAGCAGATGCTCTCACTTCCCTGCATGGGGATGACCAGGACAGTGAGGATGAAGTCCTGACCATCCCAGAGGTGAAAGTTCACTCGGGCAGAGGAGCCGAGGTAGAAAGCTCACAGCCCATGAGAAACCCACAGCGCAAGGTCCTTAAGGAAAGGGAGGACGACAGGGTGGGGCTGGTCCCAGGAGAGAAGGCCAGAAAAGGGAAGCCCAGACCTGGACAGCATAAGTCTCCAACCTCTACCAAGCTGGTGTCCTTCCATGACGACAGCGACGAGGACCTCTTACACATCTAACTCCGCGGTGCCTACAGGAGAACGTGGAGCCATGGGACAGCCAAGCACCTCCAACCAAATAAGACTTCAACTCGATGATGCTTCTATCATTTTGCCTTTAACAAAAACTGCTTCAAAGGGAAGAGTTTTTGTGATGGGGGAGAGGGTGAAGGAGGTAGGCACCACTCCTTCATGATCGTTTACAGTCAGTGGAACAAGTGTTGCTTGAATTGGCCAAAGGGCGGTACTTTGTGCCAGGGTTTTGCCCCAAGTCCTCACTTAAAGCATAGCTGCAGTGTGCTTCCAACAGGTGCCAAGGCCACGTGCATCTCACCCCAGAGGGCTGTGTTTGAAAAAAACCCTTGCTGCTTTAGACCCTATAGGGTGTTTGACCATTTATATTTTTAGCATTGTAATTCTCTCCCCCTATTTATTGACTTTGACAATTACTACTCAGGTTTGCGAAAAACGAAAAAACAAAACAGAAAGAAGCCAGTTTCTTCTGCCACCTAGGGTGTGAATGAAGCTGGCAGTGTGCTGGGGCCATTGCTGTGTGTGGCTCCTGAACTGGTCCTTGACACACACATTAGTGAGCTGCAGTATTCCTCTTTGCTTTCCATTTTGTAAGGGCATACACCTACAGGTCCCCGAGTGCCTAGGTTTGGGAAGGCCCGCCTGCTCCATGCCTCATCTCGTAGCTGCAGCTCTTTGCAAGCATCCTCATGGGTGTTGCTTTTGCCAGCTGGTGAGTCCCAGCAGCTCACCCAGAGGTGGACATGTGACTGGAGTTGAGGCGTCATGGAGAGTAGCTGTACTTCAGGTTTGGGCTGTAGGTCTCATCTCTTCAGGTTCTCATGATACCACCTTTACTGTGCTTTTTTCTTTTTTTAAGGGGAAAAAGTGTTTATCACGAATTTGACCTATAAGAAGCCTTAATTTGCACAGGGTGACTTACAGACATCGTGTGAAACACGGTGGGCCAGTGTTGTGTGTGGACCTGTGCCTGGGCAGTGTCCCAGGATGGAAAGACAGGCCTGGTGTTCTTCCACTGGCTGTGGACTTTTCTTGACATGTTCAATGACTTCTCACATTGTAGAACTGTACATAGGTGGTATCTACATAGCGAAAAGCAAACCGCCCTGCAGATTTCTTGGTTTTATGCCTATTTGGCTGGCTTAATTTGATTTCAACATGAGTGTATTTTTAAAAATTGATTTTTCTCTCTTCATTTTTTTCAATCAACTGTACTGTAATATAAAGTATTCGATTTCAATAAAAAATAAATTATTAACTAGGTGTAAATGATTCCCCCCACCCTTGGTTATGATAACTTACTGAGCTAGTGGCCATTCTGACTGCCTGGTTTTTTATTCTGTCTAAATTTCAAAAGGCATTTGCATTTGTGTTTTCCCTGAGTGTCCTGTAAAGCAGCTACTTACCTTTCCCCGGAGCTGGCCCACTTGTATGCTATGCTTTACCTGGATCTGAGGGCTCCACTCTCCCACATAAGCCTCTGCACCGCCACCTACCAAAGCAAAACTGCCGCTCATTTCCAGTGACCAGTGAGGCCTGTTTGTGTGTGGCCCAGTCCAGTCCTGAGTTTTTATCTTAAGTGAGAGTTGACTTGGCAGCAGAAAGTTGACATAAGTTGTCCCCTCATAGTCACTGTTTTGCTGTCTGAAGTTTCTGTTGACCCATTGAAGATGCTAGACATAATTCACATGTTTTAAGTAGTATGTTTGTGAAGGGAAAAAATCCTGTGTGTCCCACTCGAGTGAAGCATCTGTGTTCATGTATGTGCCCTCTGCACGGTACTCACCCACATTGTAGTCAATGCCCTCCCATGCTGTGATGCTTACAGACTGCTCCCCACACCCCTTTTGAGACAGCAGCCTGTCTAGTGCAGCACAGAACTTGCTCTGTAGCCACAGATGACCTTGGACTTTGGATTCTTTGGTATCTGCCTCCACCTGAGTGCTGGGATTATAGATGTGTTACCATGCCCATTTCTTGTGGTGTTAGGGATCAACCCAGGGCTTTGTATGTTTGACAAGATCTACCCCTGAGCTGAATCTCCAGCCCATTGCTCAGGCATTCTATCTGGGGGGTGTTCTAACCATTTCTCCTCCCTCTCCATATACAGGGGCATTGCAGAGGCCTGTTGCCCCTTGGTAAGCTCAGGAGCAGAGAGCAGTGTTGGCTTTGCTGGCTCCTGGCCTGTTGGCTTAGCTCTGGCCCTCAGCTGGGAAATGGGGGTGCTAAGAGGTATGAATACTTTTGCTCTGCCTCCCCTTTCCTCCAGCCTCTGAGAATATAGATCAGTGATCCTTGCCTGCTGTTGCTACAGGATCTTTTAGCAAAGTCTGCCTGACAGCAAACAGGAGGAAGTCAACTCTTTTCAGTGAAAGGGTTTTATTAATCAGAATGCTGCCTTCATATTTTGCTTTTAGCAAGGTTTTCTGAGCCTCTGTTTTGAGTGTTGAATGCTGATGGAATGAGTGGGAATTTAAAGATGATGCAGGCAAACCCTTGCTGAGGAAGTCATGGAGAAACAGGAATGGGTTATCAGGGACTTTGTAAAGTGCTTAAAGTCCCGGTTTCAGCCACTAAACAGCATTATACAGCCAAGCCCTTGGGAAGGGCTGCGGTCACCCATGAGAATACCTGCAGATGATGATCAAGAACCCAGGGTCACTGGTCTCTTCTGCCCCCCCCCTTGGGAATCATGGCTCTCAGACTCAGTTGGGAACATGGTATAGAGTACACCGACTTTGTAGAAACCCTCTTTCAGCCTCTGAAGAGCCCTAGATCTTATGCTGCCCCTGCCCTGTTGTATGCTTGTCTGGTCAGGGCTCCTCTGCTGACATCTCACCCTAAACCTGAGCCTTCTGTAGGTTCTGGCTGTAGTTACACCTGATCAAGACCACATAGTCACATGGCTTGAGGGAACAGGCAAGATGTTCACTAGAGGCACAGTGCACACTGATTTGTATAAAATGGAGCTGCCTTTGCACGTAGCCCTGGGGGTGTCAAGCAGGCTCTGGGGAAGTCTCAGAAAATGTGGAGAGAAATGGCAGGATAAAGCTAAACTGTTTCACACCCCGGGGATCACTGGGTAGGCCCGAAGTGAGGTCCGTTTGCCATTTTCTGCTGAGTCATTGCTGACTTTTTTTCCTAGTGTAGGTGTCCCCCAGATCCTATTACCAGTCCTTTCAGCAGGACTAGGTCATCCTCATTTTACTAGGGGCTGACCTAGGAAGGTTGCCTGGATTCCCTAGGTCACATCTAGAAGACCCTAGGAAGCCAGTACTTCATAGGACCCAGGCTTGCCCTCTATCCTTGCTTCTCCCTCCTGGTGACCCCTGTCTTTGTTCTTGTCCCTGTAATAGCTTCAACCCTCATCCCTTCCTTGGCTCCAGCAGGTACCATCACCTGGGGTCCACTTTCCTACAGGTGGAAAAAGCACCCACATGGAATATGTGTCTAGGTGCACGTTAGGTGAGTTGAGCTGATGCATAGACTGTTTTGGAAAACGGGTCTGGTGAATTGATTTATTGAGACATGACATCACTCAGGGCAGGTGACCTGTGATCTTGCTCTGTTTGCATAGAACACTGGAGACTAGTAATTTCTAAAGGAAACAAGTTAATTTGAGCTCACAGTAGAGGCTGAAAAGTTCAAGAATATTGAGCTGGTGTGGCCCCATGCTGTCCACTCATGCCAGAAAGAAGAGCCAATGGACACATGTGAAAAAGGGGGACAAAGGTATTGGATGCTGTGTAATAGCTTGTTCTTGGAGTAACTAAGCCTGTCACTTGGGAATGACCTTAATCCGGTGGTTCTCAACGTGTGGGTTGAGACCCCTTTGGGGGGCATCAAATGACCCTTTCACAGGGGTCACCTAAGATTCTTGGAAAACAGATTGCTATTCGTAACAGTTCTGAAATAGCAACAACAGTTTTATGGTTGGTGGTTACCACAGCATGCAGAACTGTAAAGCGTCAAAGCATTAGGAAGGTTGAGAACCATTGCCTTAATTCCTTCATGAGGGTGGAGAGCCAATGCCCACTGTGTCTTAAAGGTCCTGCCCCATCTCAATACCATTGCATTAACAGTTAAAATTTGGTCTGAGCTTTGGCAGAAGAACACATCCAAACCGTAGCATGTGCCCTTCTGGCTCTGGGTTCTCATCTACGCATTGGGTTACCCTGGAAATTCATCAGGGTCCCTCTCAGGAAGGACTTACAATTTAAATTGCCTGGATATCTGAACATTTGCATGTGGACTGGAGCCATGGGCCTGGGTAAAGATAAAGAGAACCACACAGGCTGAGAAGGAACCCCTGGTTCCTGGTCCACACAGAAGAAGAAGGCCTGAATCAGCAGAATGGATGGGAAGCACAGTTCCTTTTCAGACCAGGACAACTAACAAGCATGGAAATGTCACAGGTGGGCACGGGGCCCAGAGTGGTGGAAGGGCAAGTGGGGACAGTGAGAGTTGCTGGTTTCTGTTCTCTTTTGGTGTGTGCTCCAAGTGGGACCTGTGACCTTGGTTGGTCCATAGACATATACGGGCACCTCTGAGGGAAGGGAACATCTTGGGGGCTCAGGAAAGACAAGTACCCTCCTCAGAGTTAATCACTTGATCTTTCTTTGCAGTGGGACTTTCATGTACCCCACCCTCTTCATGCCTACCTTCCTGTCCTCCTGCCTTTCTCCCTTCTCCCAGGATGAGCTCAGTCTTTCCAGCAGAGCCTCTGAAGATGAAGAAAGATGGTGGAGAGGAAGGAGTGTTGGCACTCCCCTATGTGGAGTATGCTCTAAGTAGGCCAGCCAGTGGATACCTGGGCAAGATGGACCAACTCTGAGTTCCATAGAACATAGAGACTTGGAAACCTGGGATTCACTGAGTAGTCTGTGGGGCTGTTTGTTCGTGTGTGTGTGTGTGTGTGTGTGTGTGTGTGTGTGTGTGTGTGTGTGTGTGTGTGTGCGCGCGCGTGTGCATGCTGTATCACTTCTCTGTTGCTGTGGTAGAATACTGTGACCAAAAGCCACTTAAGGAAGCAAGAGTTATTGTGGCTTATGGTTGTAAAGAGATAGAGTCCTGGAAAGAGAGACAGAGACAGAGACACAGAGAGACAGAGACAGGGAGACAGAGCAAGCACACAGGAAGTGGGTTGAGACTATAGACCCTTAAAACCCACCCCCAGTGACATACTCTCTCTAGCAATGCTCCACCTCTTGAAAGTCCCATCCCTTCCCCAAGCAGCACTACCAGCAGGGAAACAAGTGTTCAAATACATGCCCCTATCGGGGACAGTTCTCATTTAAGCCACCACCACATTTAGCCTCTGACATCCATGGGTTCATGGTCATATCCTAATGCAAAATACAGGTAGTCTTCAAAAGTCCCATAGTCATTAGCAATCTCAACACTTCAAAAGTCCAAAGTCCCTTCTGAGACTTTAGGCAATTTCTGAATAGTGATCCCCTATAAAATAGGGGGCAGGGACCCAACAACACATCATATACTTCCAACAGACAGTGGCATGTATGTATATTCCCACTAGAGAGAAATGGGGACATAGTGAGGAAAGATTGGACCAAAGCAAAGCAAACCAAAAATACATAAGGGCTAAAATATAAAAGATGCCCAAGTCCTGGACATCTGTGTCTACTATCTAGGGCTTCAGTTTCAAAGGGCTTACATGGCTCCTTCCTAAGCAGCCTGTAATAAACATCTCCCTTGGGCTGGTTGCACTTCTTGTACCAAGTTCTGATTGGCAGATGTCTCATGGCTCTGGCATCTTCAACATCTTGGGGTCTCCACCACAACCCAGGCTTCACCTTTACAGCTTCAGGCAATGGCTTCTTGGTGCCTCCTCGAAGAGACAAACAGTTGCAGTGGCTACCTCCAACCATCGAGTAGTTGCTTTCTAGTTGGAGCATGGAAGGCATTAGTACAGACAGTGGAGGCCCAGCTCATGAGGTTTCAGAGGGGAACAAGGACTGTTAGCAACTGATCTAGAGGCCATTGCTGTGATAATTTGTGGAGGAATCTGGCTGCATTCTACCCATGTTCTGAGAACTGGCATGAGGCTGGTTTAGACAGTGATGGTCTAATTTCTTTGATGAGGAAGTTTTCAGAGTAGCATGGCACTGACTGAATCTATAGTGTGGTTATTACCGATGATCTGTATGTAGCTCCACAAAGGGCAACGAACGAGGCTGAAGGAAATGACAATGTTCGGTTTGAAGGTGAAAAGTGCAACTAGAAGTTTAAGACTGCAGTGAAGCCCAAGGCTGAGAAAGAGGCCGTGCTCTAACCCTGAGATAGCACCACTGAGGAAAGGCCTCCTCTGATGGACACAGTAGGGAAAAAAAAGCACCTTGGGGCAAGAACCAGTCCAGCTGAAGCCCTGTGACCAAGTATTCAAATGCATGATCCTTTGGTGATGTTTCTCATTTAAACTCCCACAGACCCTGCTCTACTGTCATGTGCCCTCCTAGAGCCCAAAATGTATGTGTACATGGGTGTTATATATGTACATATGCATGCACAGACACACAATTTTAAATTTTCACTTACATTTTAAGCTTTGTTTAATGTTTTCCCTTTTTGAGAAAAGGCCTCAGGTTGACCTCAAATGCGCTGAGAGTGGACAGTGACCTTGAAATTCTGATCATTTCTGCCTCCACCTCTTCAGGTCTGGGATTATAGGTGTGGGTGCCCACTCTTGATTCATGAGGTACTGGGGATTGGACCCAGGACTCCATACTTGCTTGGCAAGCCCTCTACTCGCTGAGGTACATCCCCAGCCCTAAGTTTTACTCAGTCCTTCAATTTTGTAAATTACATAATGTAAGCAATGCATACTTGCTGGTTTTATGTCAAGCTGATACAGGCTACAGTCATCTGAAAAGAGGGAGCCTCAATTGAGAAAATGCCTCTGTATTTTCAGGCTGCAGGCAATCCATAATTTTCTTATTAGTAGTTGATGTCAGAGGGTTCAGTCCATTGTGGGTGTGGCCACCCCTGGCTGGTAGTCCTGGGTCCTATAAGAACTCAGGCTAAGCAAGCCATGATGAGCAAGCCAGTAAGTAAACAGCTCCCCTTCATGGCCTCTGCATCAGCTCCTGCCTCCAGGTTCCTGCCCTTTTTGAGTTCCTATCCTGACTTCTTCAGGGATGGACTATGGATGGGGAAGTATAAGGCTTCCTCTCCTCCCCAACTTTTCTTTTGATCATGGTGTTTCATCACAGCAAAAGTAACCCTAACTAAGACAAGTTGGTACCAGGAGAGTGGGGTATTGCTGTGACAGACCTGGCCATGTTTTTGGGAGGACTTTAGAGCTTTTGGGTAGAAAAGCCATTGAGTGTTGAGAGCTCAGTGGGCTGGTTTGTAGGAGCTTAGAAGATAAAGCGTGTGTGGGCAGTTCAGACAACAGAGGCCTGGCTTGTGAAAGTTCAGAGGGAAGCAAAGACTCTACCAGGCCTTTTGTAGGTGTGGTTATGTGGAGCTGAAGAATTGGCTGTGATTAACAAGAGATCAGAACCATTAAAGCAAAACCTTTATTTTACTGGGAAAATGGATGCTGGCCAGCTGGAGTTAGCAGTGATTAAGGAGAGGCCAGAGTCACTGAGGTGAAATCTTCTGGGAAGTGCTTCTTAGAATCAGCTGTGTTCCTGATGAGGTCAAGGCTATACCTTTTGCTGGCAGTTGAACTTGGTAATCCAAGAGTTACCCAGGTGGTACTGGTTTTCTGGGTTTGAAGGGGTCTGAAGAAGAGCTGAGGCTTGTCACTGTGAGAGACCAGGATAGATCACTGGTGAAGGTGCAGCCTCAGTTGCATCTGAAGCCCCAGGATTGAAAGGGTCATGGAGAGAAGTTGAGGCTTGGCATCATGAAAAGAGCACAGAAGAGGCTGTTTGTGAAAGTGCAGCCCTGTTGCAGCAGAAGACCCCAGTGTTTTGGAGATGCCAGTGTTATCAGATGATTACCAAGAGCAGCAGCAGCAGTGGAGTGGAGCCAGCTAGAGCCTAGAAGACAAGCTGTGTGTGCTGCAGAGGGTGGAGCCAGAAGTGACCCAAGCCCTTTGGAGAAGCCCAGAATATAGTGAGTGGACCCCAGACACTGGACATTGAGTTGTTTACAGATAGTGTTCGGTTTTGCTTTGTTCAGTTTGTGACTGTGCCCTGGTGTTTTCCCTCTTGAAATAAGAAAGTATTTAACTTATTTCTTTATTTTACAGGAGCCCACAGTTGAGAGGCATTGGATTTTAAAAGAGACTGGATATTTAGTGTTTAACATATTTTTATTGGTTATTTTGGAATTTCACATCATGAGCCCTGATCATACTTCTCAGTCCTCCCAGGTTTCCCCCAAACCTTGTGACCCTCTGAAAAGAAGAAACAAACAAACAAAAAATAAGTCCAATTTGTGTTGCCCATACACTCACTGGTACATGGTCAAATTTCTAGTGGCCACCCCACTAAAGAAAACTGAGTCCTCCCCAACTGGCACCCCTGCCAGAAGCCATCAGCTGCGGACGGCCATACTTCAGCATCCTTATCACACTGTTTAAGAGTGCTCTTTGATGGCTTCCTGTCTAGGCTGTTAACTTTTTGGGAGTAGGATGGGGTGGTGAGGGGTAGGGGTAGGAAATCTTATAGAAGCCTTCTCTGTCCCTTCTTTCTCAACTGTGAGTCTTCAGTCCTCAATACCCCTGCAGAAGTAGCTTCCTTACCCGTTACAGTCATCGGGAGAGAGAACTTGGACTCCATGTGGTCTACCGAGTCAGCACAGGTCCTGTATCTCAGCATGGAGCCTGGACATTTTAGTGAGACTGAATTTTTAAGCATTTGAACATTTAAGGAGAGATGAGGCTCTGAGCCTGCCTGACTGCTGGCAGGATTTGGGTCCTGTGGTTGAGGGCTGAGGGTCTCAGTTGTTCACCCATCATCATCTGTTTGCCCTCGTTCTTACCTTCTTGCTGCATGTGCTTCTCCACAAGTCCACTTGCTTCATGAGGAGGCCCACAAAGGAGAGAGAAGCCCAGTAGGTGGGATACCAATCCTATGTGATGTGATCACAGAGGCCTCATCAATGGCATTGGCCACTTGATCTATTCTAGGTGAATCAGTGCTTCTGCTCAAGGCTACTTAACAGTGACCTGCTGTCCCTGCAAAATGACGGTCCCTTTTGAACTTTTGAGACAAGATCTCATGTAGCCCAGACTGATCCCAAACTTGGTTGTGTAGCCAAGAATGACCTTGGATTTCTGATCCTCTGGCTGCTGGGATTACAGGTGTGCATTCCCATATCTGGTTTATGTGCTGCTGGGGATGGCACCCAGGCTTCCTATGTGCCAGCAAGCACCTGACCACTGACAAATCTAGGCCACAGAAGGCTCATCAGTACATGCGCTCCTCAGAAGGTCCTGAGAGATAGGGGGAGCTCAAACCTGTTTGCCTGCTCCCTCCTCCCAGGACTGAGCCCTGGCTCACTTCCCAGAAGAGCAAACAAGGCTTGGGGAAAGACTGATGTACTCCCTGCCCTGACCCTCACACTGGTATCATGGGATAAAAGGTTGTTTCTGGTTGGTTGCCTTCCAGATGTATTGTGCTTGGACAGCAGCTTGATTTCAAACCACCCCAGTTCCAAGAACTTTAAATAAGACGCTGTATGAAGCCCTGGTGGCAGTCAAGAGCAGGTCTGGCTAAGTTGCTGAGGGCACCATCCAGCCATGCTGTCTGTGGATGATGTCCTGGAGCAGGTTGGGGAGTTTGGCTGGTTCCAGAAGCAGGCCTTCCTGTTATTGTGCCTGATCTCAGTTTCCTTAGCTCCGGTCTATGTGGGTATCATCTTCCTGGCCTTCACTCCTGACCATTATTGCCGGAGTCCTGGGGTGGCAGAGCTGAGCCAGCGATGTGGCTGGAGCCTGGCAGAGGAGCTGAACTACACCGTGCCGGGCTTGGGGTCTTCGGGTGAGGCCTCCTTCCTCAGCCAGTGCATGCAATATGAGGTGGACTGGAACCAGAGCAACCTTGACTGTGTGGACCCCCTGTCCAGCCTGGTTGCCAATAGGAGCCACTTGCCACTGAGCCCCTGCCAGCACGGCTGGGAGTACGACACTCCTGGCTCCTCCATCGTCACCGAGGTACTAATGGGCTCTGCATTTTGGGTAATGTAGAGATTGAGAGCAATTCCTGGATGGGTCAGTGTCTTTCTAGGGAGGAAGGAGAGGTCTAATTTCCTGTATTCTGTACAGTAGCAGGCCCTGCCCTGGTCTCTGTGTTCTTCCCACAAAGGACCAGAGAGGCCACTGAGGCACAGTTGCTATGTGGAGAGTCTGTTCTTTTTAAAATTTATTTTACATGTACCCATGTATGTGGATATGTGTATGTGTTGTGTCCTGGTATCTGTGTGTGTATGTATATGTGTATGTGTGTGTTTTAAGGTCAGAAGACAGCTTGTAGGAGTCCTCTCCTCCAACCCTGTGGGTCCCAGGGATTGAACTCAGGTTATTGGGCTTGGCAGCAGGCCCCTTTATCTTTTGAGGACCTCATGACTCAAGAATCGCCAAATCTCTGTAACTTGTTGACACATCTCAGAATATACAGATTTCAGCTTCCCTGTCCTTGGTATTGTGGAATGTCCCCATCTCCTCAGGTGGTGATGAGTGGTCTAAACAAGGACCATTGGGATAGTATGGGAATTGCCTTGGCTCAAGTCAGACTGTGTGACACCAGCTCTTATTAGCTGAATATATCTGGGTAAGTTCCTCAGTTTCTCTGAGCCTTGATCTCCCTGCAGGCAAGCAGGATTATAATAATTTCATCCACTATAAGGATCAGCTAGGGACTGGGCAGATGGTCACAAACATAAATACACTGTTTGTGGGTGTTAGATGGTGTGACTTGACTTTGAGAGTCTTTATTTTTGTTTATTTGTTTTGAGACAGGGTCTCACTATGTAGCCCTGGTTAGCCTGATTAGCCTCTTTGTAGATCAGGCTGAACTTGAACTCATAGAGTTCCTCCTACCTCTGCCTCCCGAGTGCTGGGATTAACCGTGCGCATCACCACACTCAGAAAGATAGTTTAGGAAAAAGTGCCACTAGATGTTTTTCCCTTTTGTAGATTGCTCTGAGAGTGTGGGCCAGTTTGTCCCATGGAGAGGCCTCAGGCCCAGGCTTGGAAGCTGTATTAGCAATATCTTGCCTGTGGCCAGAGCACAGCTTACCTGACCTGAAAGGTTGAGGCCATTGTCCTCCTCACCCATGCCTTGCACCCTCACATAGACTGCTGGGGTTTCTTCCCCTTTCCTCCCCTTTACTTAGTGTTTTAATGTCAAAACAGGTAGGACTGCTCCTGAGAGGAGTCCCTTCCCCTCGGCCTGCTCAGTGCTCCCTCTGGCCACCTGCAGAATGTCTGCTGGACACCTTAATGTATGTGCTTGGATGTGGATATCAGCTCTTGGGGCATCTTCCAGTGACAGACACCAAGTCAGACGGCTTACCTTGCAAGGATGGGCTGCTGGGAAATCTAGGGACTGACCAACACTGTCTCCTTGGTCCCAGGCTACCCTCTGCTTGGACTCAGACTGGCTTCTAGCATGCTATATAGTCAAGGATGGTCTTGAACTTCTCATCCTCCAATCTCTACCTCCTGAGTAGTGGGATTACAGGTGTTTATATACCACCACATAACTTATGCTGTCCTGGGACTAGAACTCAGGACCTCATATTTACTAGGCAAATACTCTACCAACTGAGTTATATTCCCTAGGCCCACCTGAGTTCCTTTCTTGGCCTCCTTGTCATACCCCACCTCTTATGAAGCCTTAAACCCTACCTCCATCTGGATTCTGAGCCACCCACCAGGTCTAGATAGAACTCTATCTAGATGGACCTCTATCTAAATGGACCAAACTCTTCCATTTGGTGTTAGGGTAGGGTTGCTATGTTTAGCAATAAAAGTAGGGCATTCCCAGTTAAAATTTGAGATAAACAACAACTGCTTCTATGTAGCACAAGCTGGCCTCAAACTCACACTGATCCCCTTGCTTCAGCCTTCCAAGGTTGGGAATGAAGGTCTGAATCGACATACATGGCTAACATCTATATCATGTCTCTTGGAGACATGAGACTCTGTGTTAAAAAACCAAACAACCCACAAAAAAAAGACAAAAAAGGTAAAGTGACTTGAGAAGCATCATTGAACATGGGTGTTATGGAACAGAAAGACAGGATGTAAGAGACACTGTGTGTGGGGTCTATGAGTAGTGTCTAATTTAAGGTTCCTGGCTTAGGGAGTAGGATAGGGAGCTATGGAGCCCTGGATGGGAATCTGGAGGATGTGGCCACCTGGGAAGGAGGGGTGCCCTGCAGTGTCAGGGACAGATGCAAGAGGACAGAGACTATTTTAGGAAGAGTTGACTGTCCACACACACAGGGAGGCTTCCATGACCCTAAACTAGAGCTTGGTGAATTGTGTAGTGGTATTCAGAGGGACAATGACTTTAGAAGAAAGAGCACTGTACCGGTCTGAGTTTGAAAGTCAGTGGTATCCATCTGGAAACATTCCAGGGTAGTAAGAAGCACAGATGTGAGGGAAAATAGGTAGCTTATTTGGTGATTACTGTGTAATCATGGGGACCGTTGTGTAAACCTAGACTTTGAGTTCAGATGCCCAGAACTCCTGTTAAAAGCTAGGTATGGTAGCGCATAACTGTAACCCCATTGCTCCCGGGAAGAGATGGGAAGTGGAAATAGAAGGTTCCCCCAAACCTTGTGGACCAGCTAGCCTGGTATACGCAATGGTAAACCAACAGAGAGGGCTGGTGAGATGGTTTGGCTGGCAAAGGTCCTCACCACCAAGCATGACTACCTGAGTTCAGTCCTTGCAACTCATATGATGGCAGGAGAGGACCAACTAACTTGTAACATGAATTAATAAATGACTCAGAGACTGATATTGGGGTTCAAACTTCAAGCTGAATATCAGAAAAGTAAAGCAGCTGGCCACTAGCTTCTTACCTCTACCTCAGGCTGAATGGGCTGGTTCTATGTCATGAGCTCTCACCAAGCCTCAGACTGTAACCTCTCCTCAGAGTGGCTGGAGAATGAATGCCTGATACTCAATTCTGATATTGACTTGTATACCTCTCATGAGTCCTGGGGTTAAAGGTATGAGCTATAATTCTCTTTTAGACTGATTCATTCTTGTGTAGATCTGGGTGGCCTTGGACTCACAGAGATCCATCTATCTCTTAATCCTGAACCCTAGGATTAAAGGTGTATACCACCACCTCCTAGCTTCTGGCTGCTGGGATTAAAGGTGTGTGCCTGGCTTCTATGATCTGTGGCTGACTTTGCTTTCTGAATCCTCAGGCAAGCTCTGATATCCACAAATGCATGTGTATCACACAGTAAATATATTAAAAAAAGAGAGAGGCCTTGCCCTAAACAAGGTGGAAGGTAAGGACTGATACTCAAGGTGGTATCTGACTTCCACATGTACACCATGGTATGTGCATACCTTCCATCACACACATGTATATACTCATCATACACACACGTGTACACACACCATGCACATATACACTCATTACACACACACACACACACACACACACACACACACACACACACACGAAAAAATAAGATGGAAATTGACAGAGGAAGATATTTAATGTTGACCTCTGACCTCTGTGTACAGGCACACACAAATGTGCATACATACAAACGAGCACATGCACATATGACATGCACATGCTGCGCACATACGAAAGAAACTGAGCTGTGTCAGGGCAGGAAGGCAGTAGAGACAGGTGCTCTCTCCCATTTATTTCTCCCCTCCAGCTGCTTTCAAACCGCCCTTGCCTCACCACTTATCCTAAACCAGAGATCAGGAGCTAAGTGTAGTTACTCATTTCTGCAGAACTAATTTTTAACTCATCATTACCTTGGACATTGGAACTTCCTTTAGGGAGGTAGATGGGTGACCTTTGTTTAGGTCCTACCCCAACACTAGGGACTGGGATCATAATAACCCCTGGGGAAGGGATAAGATGTTCCTTAGCTTTTGTTGCCCTTACCTGTTCTGTGAGCCTCAGTTTCACCCCAGCCCACACACCAGGCTAGAGAGAGCCACTCGTCCTACTAGCTGTGAGCATTGAGCAATAGCGAGCAGCCTTTGGACAGAGGTGAGCCGAGGTGGCCACGTGGATACTTCCCAAACTTACTTGCATACACGATCCACTGAGGAAGGGTGTTTGAATAAGAGCCTTGGGTGACTCTGATGAGGCAAACTATGAAGATTGCTTTGTATACTGGAAAAGTTGCCTAGCTCTGGTGCAACTCTAGTGGGCATAGCAGATAGGCCCAGGAACCCCCACCCCCTCCTTCCTTGCCTTTCTGCAGGCCCAGGTAGGGGCATAAAAGGATGAGTGGAGTTGAAGAGTGGGAGATCTAGCCACTGATGCTGGACAAGTCTGGGGAGTGTTGATCCTCAGAGAGCAGTGGTCTTGGCAGGTGAGACTGAATCAAGATAGCCAGGCTTCCTCTGCTATGGCAGCTGTCTGGCTCCACACATAGTTCCAGGGTAGAGTGGCCGTCTTCAACCTTTGAAGAAGGGGACAGAATATCCTACAGCATCACTAACTTGCAAAGATCAGATTGAGAATTGTAGCGTGAAAAATAAAAGACCCAAAGACTGATGTTGGGGCTCAAGCTTCAAGCTGAAGATCAAAGAAGCAAAGCAGCCAAGCCAGTAGATCTCACCTCTACCCAGCTGAAATGGCAATCCTGTCTCCACAAATCCTCAGAGACAAAAGCTCTCATTCAGTTCCTGTCTCTTCCTTCTTTTATTCCTTTCTCTGCCTAGACATATCCTCCTGTCTCCACTTACTCTTTTAGACTGATTCAGTCTCCTGTGGCCCTGGGTGGCCTTGAACTCAGAGAGATCCATCTGCCTTTGTCTCCTGAGTCCTGTGTACCGCTACTGCCTGGCTTCTATGGCTAACTAGTGTGGCTGCTTTGCTATTTTGACCTCCACACTTTAATAAATCATAAACAATATATCACCACAGAAAACCAACAGTGGCCAAGAAGGGATCAAATTGATGCCTAGGGGCAGTAGTCCCATGGGCCTTTCCTGCCATGTGACTTTACTGACAGAACATTGTCATGGGACACAGAGTGGAACTACAAAGGCACAGCTGGGTGGATGAAGATATAGAGCCTTGGATGCCCAGGTGACACCCAGGAGTGATCTGTCCCAGTGTATCCTCTTCAGATACACTCGAGAACTCAGAACTTCAGAGGGGCACACTGAAGTGTCTGCGAGACATGTACCTCACAAGGTGTGTTAGGCTGGGGTAGGTGGAGAGAATTAGAGGAACACTGTTCAGGGGCTTGTCACCTCCCAGAGCAGTGTCTGGGCACAGGTTGGTGGATGTCAAGGTGGCCATTTCTTTCTGGTATTGAGTGGCAATGTGTGATCTCATGTATCTTTCAGAAAAATGAGGGACTGGGTCAAAGAATGCCTAGGCAGGTCAATAGACCTCTGCCAGCTGAGCATAGCCTCTCTAAGACTTGACTCAGAGTGTTTGACCTTGTGACAGGTAAAGGATATAGCTCATATGCCAATTTTAGAATCACTGGATAGCTAATACGATCTTAGCATTTAAACTAAAACGGCTCATCATTGACTAATTTCTTACCTCCCAACCTCACAGCAACCCTGGAGGGACGCAGTATGAATGTTTCAGGAAACCAGGGTCTCAAGTTGCTAAGTGACTTGCTGCTGTCATACCCCATGTGTTGCTCTAGGCTGCTAGAGCCATGGCTGCACATCACAGAGCAGAGTGGAACAAAGATTTCAGGAGGGTAAGAAGAGCTGTGCCAGCTCTGGGGAGGAGAGGTCCCATTCAGTCCTAGTGCTCAGCCTCCTAGGGTCTCTCCTGTCTGCCCCACTCAGCTGTGCAGAGAACGTGACCTGCTGGACACAGGCCTTGAGCCCTGCTCAGGATGTTCCCTGCTGCCCTGTGCTTTGGCCAGGAATGTCCTTACCCTGCCTTTCTCCATGTCTAGGCCTCTAAACAGGTCACGTCTAGGCCTGTTCTTTTTTTCTGTCTCCAACTTAATTCTATCCCTAGAGCTTGACATGTAGGACTGCCCCTCTCTCTCAGACTCTACCTCCACTGTCTTGACTCTATCTGAGCCCTTCTGTTCCATTGCTTCCCACAGCTCCTTTAGCAATAGAGTTAAATTAAGTATACAATATCTTCATGCTCTGAAAAACAAGATTTTTTTTTTTGAGACAGAGTCTCATGGAGTCCAGACTGGCCTTGAACTTACTATATAGCTGCAGATAACCTTGAATGCCTAATCCTTTCGACTCTGCCTTCCTGTCTATACTCTCCTAGTAGTGATGTCACAGCCTGTTTTTCTCTGTGTAGCCCTGGCTGTCCTGGAACTCATTCGATAGACCAGGCTGGCCTTGGACTCTGAGGTCTGAGATCTTCCTGCCTCTGCCTCCCCAGTGCTGGGATTAAAGGCACATGCCATCACTGCCGAGCATGTGCCCAGCTGTTTTATATGGGTGCTGGGGATCTGAACTCTGGTCTTCATACTTGCCCACCTTACCCACTGAGCCACAACCCTGGCTCTTGGTTGTATTTCTCTATGTAGAACTTTCTTGGCAGCTACAAACTCCTCTGAGGATGTTTAACTGCTCTTGCTCCTTTTAGAACGACACTTTGTCCAATGGTAGCCAACAACCAATGGCACAGCCAACAACAGCCAACTACCAATGGCAAAGCCAACAACGGCCAACAACCAATGGCAAAGCCAAAAACAACCACCTTCACTTTCACAAAGACGTCAAGAAGAAGCTGGGCATGGCGGTGCTAGACCTATGTTGATGTTTCCTGCATCTTGGAAAAGTGTGTTAAGCACAACTGATCCAGCCTGAGGGGATCAACTTCTGTGGATCAGCTAGCTTGCTTCCTCTGGTAGAGGATGGGAGTGGGGCTCTGGCTTTCCCAGGAGTCTCAGTTTCCTTCTCTTTCCACTGCTGCAGTTTAACCTGGTATGTGGAGATGCCTGGAAGGTAGACCTTTTTCAGTCCTGTGTGAACCTGGGCTTCTTCCTCGGCTCCCTGGTTGTGGGTTACATTGCAGACAGGTATGTGAAGGCAGTCCATTTGAGCCAGCCTTTGGTGAGTGGGCAAGGGTGAGAGTATTGTTGGTCAGGATCTATTGTGAAGAGTTCTGCAGAAAGAATGTTACAGTAGGGGCTTCAGGCTGCTGGGACTGATGGCAGAAAAGCCAGGCAGTTGTGGAACGGGTGTGCAAAAGGGAAAGAGAAGTGCGGCTGAGAGAAACAGAATGTTATGCTTTGAGCAGGGAGGTGGCCATGGCCAAGTCTCAGCTGTTTATGGGTCTGCACTACTGCCAGAGTTAGATGTTCTAACTTAGATGCATGGAATTTGGAAGTGTGTTTAAATGGTCTAGGAGATACTCATAAAGGCTGTCAGGTAGGCATGTGGGGTATACGCATACCTGACCCCGGATTCCTAATCCCTCCCATGCACCCTTCTGTCTCTGCAGGTTTGGTCGTAAGCTGTGCCTCCTGGCGACTACTCTGGTCACTTCCCTGTCGGGCGTGCTGACAGCTGTGGCCCCAGACTACATATCCATGCTGCTCTTTCGCCTGCTTCAGGGCATGGTCAGCAAGGGCAGCTGGGTGTCTGGCTACACCTTGAGTAATTACACAGGGCTGGGGGGTACCTGGGTCCCTGAAAGATAGGGGTGAGAGAGCAGGGGATGTTTGTGGGCTCTAGGGAAAGGGAGGCAGTTAGTTGAGAGAGAGAGAGAGAGAGAGAGAGAGAGAGAGAGAGAGAGCGAGAGAGAGAGAGAGAGCGAGAGAGAGAGAGAGAGAGAGAGAGGCAGAGACAGAGACAGAGACTGAGGCTGATATTGTATAGGTGTGAGCTCCTTTTCTCTCAGCAGTCCTATTGGTGAGGGTAGTAGGGGGATGTGCAGGAAGTGAGGTACGTAGAAGAATATTTTAATGTTGTAGAAGAACCAACAACTCCCCCCAAGCCAGACTACAGACACTACTGACTTGAATGAAAACCTAGGATGATATTTGACAGCTAGATATAGAGACAAAAAGAGGTTCTGCCTTGAGAAGTAGTGACTCACTATTGAGGTTCAGGTAGTGCAGGATAGCCTGAAACACCTGTACGGTGGTAATGAGTGGTTAAGAAGGGCGATTCAGGGTTGAATCTACATTCCAGGTCTGAGCAGTTGTGGGATTTTAGGCATGTTAATTCATTCTCTGTGCCTTAGTGTTTTAGAAATGAGGATGACTGTTGCTTTCATCCTGTGGGTTGTGAGAAATAGGTATGTCACTGGGCATCCAATTGGTCCCAGAGCAGTGGTGGGCATGTAACCAACTCTGTGAAGATGGCTGGTGCTGCTGTGGGCACTGTGGTAGGGTGTAGGGGCTCCACAGTAGATAAGATGTCCCCTTTGCTTGCCACAGTAGATTTGCCTGCTTGGATCTCAATGCTAGAGATGGGCCTACTGACAGATGCCAATTCGGGTTTAGCTGGATGTGGGAGGAGTCTCAGAGGACTTCTGTCACCTGGTGATTCTGTTGGCTCCGGGACACGCTGCTCCACCCCCTCCTGCTCACTAGTGGCTTTCTCAGTCTCCTTTCTTGACTACCTAGAATGGAGGACCTCAGGACATTGTACTGCTGCAACCCCAAGACTGTTTCAGCTGTAGACCTTTCTTAGTCACACACAGTAGTCTCCTGCCAGCTGCTCAGACTATCCACCCGACCATTCCACCACTGCCTTGTATCCCCATATTCCCTCAATGAATCTGTTATCAGCTTTAGTTTTGAAATATGCCCATAGGAACCCACTGGTTTCACAGCCTTGACTACTCCTAGCCTTACCATCACCTCATCTCCATGTATATTTCCTGACTGCATGCATATTCGGTTCTCAACGCCTTAGCAGAGGAAGCCTTTGTGGGCATAAACTCGTGGCACTCTGCTGTCAATGTGACCACACCTTAGTGCCCCGCAAGCCCCCAGGGTTTCTTGTTGCACCCCTAACACAGCCTTACTCCTTTGCCTTTGTACCCCACCCTTCTTCCCACCTAGATCTCCACACAGTTCCTTCACCACACCTTATGGTACCTTTGCCCCCAGGACTGCGCTCCTCCAGTATCTGAGAGGCTGAGCCAATCCCTTCCCCAGTGACTTTGTCCCATCCACTTACCTGCCCACCAATCTTGTGTAAAGCGGAAGTCCCTCTGCACTTGCAGCCTCAAGTGAGCAACTGGCTTATATAATTGTGTTTGACTTATTTATCTCCTATTCGGAAAGAAAATGCCTTCCATCTGGGAACAAGAGACTTCATTTACCTTCCAACCCCAAGAACTGCATACCAGGTTCACAGAAGGCATGCTAAGATACTTGTAGAATTAGTGAGTGTGCCAGAACCCTAGGAGACTTTCCAGCTCAGCTGGGAGATTCCATGAGTATTTGGGGAGGAGAGACTTGAGCCTTGAAGCAAGGCAAGGGAGATATATACAGTGAGGAAGAAGGCAAAAGAGGAGCACCAAGAGAAAGCCTGGTGACAAACTGGCCTGGTAAACCTGTAGGACCAGGTAGAGTGGCATTCGGCCAGCGAGAGGCCAGACAATAAAGACTGGGCTTAGGAGAAGGAGAGGTGGAAAATGTATAGATGCAGAAAAAAGCTGGGGGGAGGGGTGGTGAGGCGAGGTCTGTGGCTGGCAAGAAGCAAGAGTCAGGAGCAAGCCCACCTCTAGGGCTCTCTTCTCTGGAAACTGCCCATGACCACCATCTCTGTTTCAGTCACAGAGTTTGTCGGCTCTGGCTACAGAAGAACAACGGCAATCCTGTACCAGACGGCCTTCACAGTGGGGCTAGTGGGGCTTCCCGGGATAGCCTATGCCATTCCACACTGGCGCTGGCTCCAGCTGGCGGTCTCCCTGCCCACCTTCTTCTTCTTGCTGTATTACTGGTAATGCACCCCTGCCAGAGACAAGGTGACATTCCTGCTTCATGCTGTGTCTGCTAGGCTCTGGGGGCACGGAGGGCTGTCCTGATCTCTGCTACTACACAGGTCACCTTCCAAGAGGCACGAGCCCTTGCTATCACTTCTGTGGTCTGGTGCTTGCATGCTATGCATGTCTTTCTTCTGATGTGCCCAGGTCTCCTCACAATGTAGGCTGCTGTCCTTACACAGAGTATGTCCAAATTTGCCTCACCCTCAGATAGGCAGGGGTGATACTATAAGGAAGCCCAGAGGCTGCCTTCCCATCTCAAAGGAAGTACACCTTCTTCTAGAAACACAAGGCAAGCCAGCCACAGGGAGACTGGCCTCAGGAGTCAGCCCCGAGCCAGTATCAAATAGCACTTATTACCCAGAGGCTCTGGGAAAACTTGGAGACAGTCTTCATACAGTATGTAGCATGGGGGAGACAGACGAGAGTGGACGCTTCACTGCCATGGCCGCTACAACCTGCAGTTCCCAGAGTTCCTCTAGAGATATCACTTCAAGTCAGGTCATCTCACTTTGTTGCCTGATTTCCTTCCTCAGTCTCCTGCCTCCTCTTCTGTCTCACTTCATGTTTCACAATGTGCCCATTAGAGAGGCTCTGCCTGCCTCTCATCTAACTACACAGGCACTTGATCTCCGTTAAAAGAACTTACGAGTGAGTTAGTGAATGGAAGGGCCCAGCTGGCTGCTGCCAGAAGTGTCAGTCTTATTGTCTGTGCTTTGCAGGTCCAAGGGATAAGCAACCTCCCAGAGGTAGGCAGTATTGTGCAGGGGAGAGGCCGCTGCAGGGGAAACTACCTCATCCATGCAGCTTTTGCCAGTTTTACTGAGGACAAATCTTACTTCAGGGGATACTGGGCTAGGCTTAGCCTCTACATGGAAGCTGGTACCTGGGTGGGTGGTTGGGACTGAGAGGAGCCTGTCCTCTCTCTGCAGAGTGAAAAGGGGTTTTCTGTGAGAAATGACCCTGGCTCCATTTGGATGTTTAACCAGGGCATACCCAAGTTATGGGAGGCCATCGCATCAGTCTCAATCCCTGAGCTGCAACTTCCCAGTGCTGTGTGAAATGGCTTGAACTGGATATGGTGATGAATGCCTGTAATCCCAGCTCTCAGGGTGGGGGTAGGCGTGGAGGATGCTGAGGCAGGAGGATTGCCATGGGGTTCAAGGCCATCCAGGCTATGTAGGAAGTACCCAGCTGTCCAGGAATACATGCAAAGACCCTGTTTCCACGCGATCTCAACGTAAAACTCAGAAGCAACAGTCCCTGTTTCAAAACAAAAAAAAAACAAAAAAAAAGAAAAAAGGTAAATGTGAAAGGAAGGAGAAATAGTACATTGTTCACTTGATTTTAGGGCGAGTAAAAGCTTTGTTTGGGAATAGCATGGGCCTTGGTCAGCAGTTCTTGTACCTATACATGTAATATGTATGTGAAGCACCTACTCAGTGCCTGTAGAACAGGGCTCCCAACTTCTAAGAGAGATGGGACCCTACTTCACAAAAAAAGAAGGGTGCAGGACATCCTTGATCCCTTCAGCTTTGGGGATCTCAGCCAGTGGCCCCAAGTAGCAGTGACCTATAGAGATCATGTATGGGCCACCCAGAGAGGGTCACATGGCATGGGCCACAACTGCTCACTACAGCCCAGGCCTTCCTTTGCAAGCATCTCTGGGAATCACTATTCTACCTGAGGATCTTGGCCTCTCTGAGTCATGCACTGCACCGCTCTCATCAAGGGCTAAGGTGGGGTGAGGTCTTGTGGGAAGGCACTACAGTTATGAGCTGTGTCTGCAGGTGTGTGCCAGAGTCCCCTCGATGGCTGCTATCCCAGAAGAGAACCACACAAGCCATAAGGGTTATGGAGCAAATTGCTCAGAAGAACGGGAAGGTGCCCCCCGCTGACCTGAAGGTACTGGAATTCAGAAGGGGTTCTTCCCTTTGTGGATTTGGGGCTGCCTCATGATCTACATGGGACCCCCTCCCTGCGGGGGGACTGTTGTGTGCACACAGACCAAGTGTAGTGAAGACTGACTCTCTTCCCAGATGCTCTGCGTTAAGGAGGATGCCTCAGAAAAGCAGAGTCCTTCCTTTGCAGACCTGTTTCGCACTCCCAGCATGAGGAAGCACACCTTCATCCTGATGTATTTGTGGTGAGTGCTCTACCTACACATCTCCCCCCTAACCCCCCCCCCCGGGGGGTTACTCTGTTGCTGTCCAAATTCAGGTACCAATAACCCTGTAGAAAGAGCATGATGAGGAGCTGAGTGGTCATTGGGCTGGAGTCTTCTCATGTTTCAATAAGAATGGGTGCAGCCGGCTTTGGTGGCGCACGCCTTTAATCCCAGCACTTGGGAGGCAGAGGCAGGCAGATCTCTGTGAGTTCGAGGACAGCCTGGTCTCCAGAGTGAGTGCCAGGATAGGCTCCAAAGCTACGAAGAGGAACCCTGTCTTGAAAAACCAAAAAACAAACAAACAAACAAACAAAAAAGAATGGGTGCAAGGTCAATGCCGAGAAGGGTGAAGAAGCGTGAAGGGTTTCTGAGGCTACCTCAGTCTAAGTGTCTTATGTCTTGGGGGCAGCTGAGTGTTGACTTGGTGTGGGGTAGTGGAGAAGGTTCCAAAGCTCAGAGCCACCTTTAAGTAGGAAGTACCCTCCCTCACATCTAAAAACTTTGTGGCCCACCTCTGGGTCCTTGTGCACACTTGGTTCATGGACAAGGACCTTTTAGCATATAGATGTATTTGTCCCTGTGCCCACCAATGGCAGTTTGCGCCTCCTCATTGTTTTCATGAGGAAGAATTCTACCTGTTCTCCCAGAACATCAGTCAATCTTCAACACAGTCCTGCTTTAACCTGAATCTTCATTATTATTATTTTGATTTTTCAAGACAGGGTTTCTCTGTAGCTTTGGAGGCTGTCCTGGAACTCACTCTGTAGACCAGGATGGCCTTGAACTCACAGAGATCCACCTGCCTCTGCCTCCTGAGTGCTGGGATTAAAGGGGTGTGCCACCACCACCTGGCCTTCAACTTGAATCTTAAGCTACTCCCTGAGCAGCCATGGCTGAGCTGCTGTGCTTTGGACCCCCTCTCTTACATAGGGACTGCCCTGCTGACCTATTTGCTTTTCTGTGCTGTTTTAGTGGAACAAAAAGCTGAGTAGTCGGGTATTACCTGGCACATAGTAGGCCTGTGGCAAATGTTTGCTGAATGCTGAGTGAGTAATTATAGTTCCATGGATTCCGCTGATCCCTTTAGACACCAGGCCTGCCTTAGCGCCATTCACCTCTCTCGTCTTGGCTGTGTGGCCGTAGGAGAGTACCTTCACCAGTCTGTGACACAGGAAACTTATCATGCGAAATAATATGTTGGTGGCACACAGCTTTAATCCCAGCACTTGGGAGGCAATGGCAGGAGGATCTCTGTGAGTTCGAGGCCAGCCTGGTCTCCAGAGCAAGTGCCAGAATAGGCTCCAAAGCTACACAGAGAAACCCTGTCTCGAAAAACAAAAAACAAAAAACAAAAAAAGACACAAAAAAGAGAAATAATATGTGGAGATCACAGGCAACTGGAAATGAGTGCGATGATCTGTGTAAAGGGCCTGGAACAGTGGTGAACATAGCTGTTGGAAATTCTTAGCACATTTTAATGTATGTATATTAAATTCCAGGGTCTGCCAAAAGATGGCAGCACTAATTCACTGATTGGTTGACCAGTTAGACAAGTTTTTTCTTAAATGTGACAGTGGGGGTTGACAGCCATTTTTTGGGGCGGGGGCTGGGATAAAACAAGTTTCTTATGCATTAAAATCTTACCATTGCAATGCCAATTTGGATGCAATGGTGTCAGTTTCCAGAATAGTATCATTTCCCCTTAGTGATACTAGATCCATCGAGTTTGGACTTGATTGAGCTCCTGATTTAATGTCTTCATTGACTATGCAACATGGATCATGAGTTGCTGTCCTTTCCTTGAATATAGATGGAGCTGATATGGTGGGTGAACCTGAATGTTTCTGATAAAGACAGTGCTGTGGAGCCAGAGACCTAGCAAGTCAAGCTGTGGATCCTTGACTTTGGAAGGACTATGCTGGTGCCCATGACAATATTCCTACCTTTGCTATGTGTCAGAAGCTATATTAGGCTCCTTTATCTGTTATCTCAGTAAATAGTCACAACAGAGCGATATGCTACCTGCCAGCACTGTCCTACTCACAGGCGAGAAGAGAAGCAAAGAGCTGTTGGTCACTCAATTTCCCCACAGTCACACAGCTTATAAAGAGACCCAACACCAGGCCCTGCACACTCACTTGCTGTCTGCACCTGCTTTCTACTTTGTGGGCCTGCAGGAGTGTTCCAGGTCACTCTGTGTGGGGCTCAGCACAGTTCCAGACACCTGAGCTTGTAGCAAGCAGGAGTATCCAGCTGAAATCTCCCCCTCCCTTCCTGTGTCAGATATCCTGGGGGGGAAGTTTTAACAGTAGGTGTCTTGGGGATATATGTAAGATACACTGTCACATCGGCAGGGACACAGCTTCCTATCAGAGACCCTCGTAGGACACTTTCCATGTTACCCTAGCACATCTTGTAGCAAGTGACACGTCCTTCTGTCCAGCTGGCTGGGGTCCTTAGGGATGGCTTTTGACTTGTGGTCTCTTCTGCAGGTTCTCTTGTGCTGTGGTGTACCAGGGCCTCATCTTGCATGTGGGGGCCTCGGGTGGGAACCTCTACCTAGACTTCTTGTACTCTTCTCTGGTGGAATTCCCTGCGGCCTTCATCATCCTTGTCACCATTGACCGCGTTGGCCGCATCTACCCGATGGCCATCTCAAATCTGGTGGCAGGGGCAGCCTGCCTCATCATGATCTTTATCCCACATGGTAAGTCCATCTTAATATCACTTCCCGGGTCATTGAATTTCGGGATGTGTTGTAACTCTCTGATAAGCTTCTGGAATGAGAACAAAGGCAGGGGGTTTCCTTGGCTGGACTTGAAACAGTTTTAGACTGAAGTGTAGCAAACATATACTAGGCACATTCTAAGTGAATGACTCAATGTGTTAAACATACAGACATCAGGTAGCAGAACTCAGAGTCTGAGGATACTTCCAGTCTTTAGTGTCCCTTGCAGTCCTCAGGATCAATACCAGTGCTTTGCCAACCACCTCTCCTGACCTCTGTTGCCACAGATTAGCCCAGGTAGATAAACAGAGCACCTAGAATGTACCCTGCTGACCTGTCCATTATACGGGTGGGGCTTGTCTATGTTGTCACATGACTGACTGTGTAGACTGTTTTTTCCCCCTTAGCATTGTATTGCTCCTTATAGAGACATCATACCATGTGGTCTTCCCTACTGATATTGCTTGTGGTGTTTGTTGCCCATTGGGAGTAGAGCTGTGCTACATAGTTCTGGGTAGACATGGGTTCTTTGTTCCCTTGGAGACATGTCTGTGAACATACTGTCAGAATCCGTAGGGACACTCGAGTTTAGCTTCAGTGGACACCTGACAGCTTTCCAAAGATGACCAGGCCACTTTCTGCTTCCCCAAGCAGTCCCACCTCCAATGGCAGTCAGGTGGTGGGTGTGAGCATTGCTTCATAATTCTTACAATCCGAGACAAACACCTGCAGAGAGGGTCCAGGCAGAGTTACTCAAGGAAATCTTAATTTAAGTTCGTAAATGGCTTTTCATGTTGTAAACAGTAACTCCTATAAAGGCTGAGCTGCTCTTTACCCTTTTTATTGCTGTGTCCTGCATTGTGCACCTGGGGAGCCACTTTGGTAGTCTATCATGCCGGGTGTTACAGAAAAGACCAGAAGGTATTTGTCTTTTCTCAAGAGTCATATTGGGCAGGACATGATTGGTAGTGTGTGTGTGTGTGTGTGTGTGTGTGTGTGTGTGTGTGTGTGTGTGTATGCGTGCGCGCGTGTGTGTTGCGCACTTGTGTGTGTCTGTGTTTGTGTGTGTGGGATTCTGTCTCTGTGTGTATGTATGTGTGTATATCTGTGTTTGTGTGTGTGTATGTGTGTGTGAGTGTATGTGTGTGTGTATATATATATATATATATATATATATATATATA